ATAGGCTGCAGGTCGTTAAGGGCTTGGCTTCTTTGAGCCGTTGACCTTTGAGCCGTTTGGTCATGAGAGTCTTGGCTCGCTGACTGACCGTGCATGGCGGAATGGACCCGTACGCAGCGTTCGAGGTCGCAGCGTGAGGTCGTACGTACTTCTACCACTTTCGGTCCCTGTCATCGTGAACGACTCGTGAGCGTGGATTACTTTGATCAATTGAGCATGCATGGATGACCAAAACGTGCAAAAAAGAACATGCAAGAGCCTTCATAAGATACATATTGAGATATACTCAGTTGCTGATACCTTGTAAAACGATCATGAACATTGAATAACGATAAGGCAGGTGATGTCTCGACATGGCACTTCCAGCTGTGCGCCCTCCTTTCCACCCTGCTGCTGTGCGCCTTCACCGTGTAGTTGCCCGGCGTCAAGGTACCAGGCACCACCAGCTGAAAGAGGTTCTGGCCCGGTTCCCGGGGACCCCAGCGCTTCACCGAAGGCCAGAACACTACGGATTCCCCGTGTCGGACGGAACGAAGAATGACCGGTTTCGAGTATGAAGAACGAAGTGGTTTTGGGTTCCATGAGAATCTGTAGGGGAGTATGGTTAGTTTTGGGGTTTCACCAATCGTCCCCCGCAAAAAAGGTGACAGGCTACCCACTGACTGGGGGGCCGAGACCCTACATCCGGTCGGACATGGACCAAGGCTAGGTCCGAGCGATCAGCAACTGGCGTTCGGTGTGAGCCCAAAGCCTGCGCCTAAGGACAAGGTTGCTTCAGTATCAGCCAGTTGCTTAGATCATGTCGTTGTTGCTTAGATCTAGAGTGACCCCCCCTGAGTACATGATTTAGACAAAACACATCAAAACACCATTTTGCTGATAGGACGTACACTATTCTGTGGTCCAAGATGTAGCCCATTGCTTGCACCCGGCACGTCACCAGCTGGTCCAGGAGGTGCAAGCTATTGGGTCAAGCAGTCCTCGTGTCGTGTTTTGATTGATAGTGGTGAACGAAATCGTTTACACCACGTGAGACAAACTTGCTAGCACCAAAAGAATGCCAGAAACAAGCACCAACACCGCCAACACCTCTGGAACCCCCTCCCTCACCTTGTGATCCTTGTGTTCTTGATCCCTTCCCCTACACCCAAACCGCCACTCAACTCGACCTTCACTCGACCTCCCAAACCCGCCTGATTTCCGGTCACCGGCATGGCGGAGGCCACGACGGCACCTGCGGAGCTCGCCAGGTCCAACTGTGTGGCCTGGCGGCGCGACGAGGTGAAGACGGCAGGGATCTGTGGAAGAGTTAATGGTAGGAGACATTGACCATTGACCCACATTACTCTATAAGTGAATGAGACAGACATGGTTTCCTCTATGGAGCCGGTGCCGAGCAATGGAAATAGTAGACCTTGACCCAAATGTATGACCTATCCATTGATAGGTCATTGTATAATGTATGGATGGTCTGGGGGGTTGTGGGGGTCTGTCCAGGTGCTCAAGCATGGAGGTTGAGAGACCGAGCTGCGAAAGTGTTTTTTCTTAAGCTTGCCGGTGTTGGGAGGGCTTCTGTAGAAGTAGGGAAAAGCAAATGTTTCCTGGTTCCTGGGTCTTGGCAGATGTCTATATATAGTGATCCAAAGCAGTATGTGTGTGAAAGCTGTGCTTGGGGCCTATTTGTGATGCCTTCGTGAGTGGATAGACTGGCCAAGTCTGGGCCTCCAAGTGCCACAAGGCACATGAAACCATTCACAAAATCAGAACAGCATTGAGGGATCAAGGATCGAAGTTGGTAGGCCTTGCTGGACATGTTTTTGTTCCAAAGATGGGTCCTCACACAACATTCGGGCATGTTCTGAACATCACTCGTTAGTCCATACTCAACACACATCTAGTGGGAGTGCCAACCCGGCTGTAGTAGCCTTGATCAAAAGTTCGTGCTGGTCCGTGTTTTTTATTCTACATTGTACAATTTGGCATTGCTTGAGGATTAAGGTACATTGAAATAGTCACATATATTATTGTATGCGTAGTCTGTGATATTCTCCAGAGTAGATCCCCCCACAAGGACCTTTCAGTACATCATCGCAGCTTGCGGCCCCTCGCAGCATCTTTTGTCCGCTTGGATGCTGCCATTCTCGGTCTTCCCCACACATACGATGGGAAGGCGGCTTGAGCCAGGCGGGATTCGAGTGGCCCCCGTGAGAGCGAGCTGTGTGTGCATTTCAGGGGCCCAGGAACTTGCAAAAGGTGCAGTATAGACTATTGGATATAATAATGAGCGTATATATGCGCATCCGCATATATGCTATATGTCACATGTCTCAATCTCGATCGGGCACTCTGCACGAATCACTCCAGTTCTGCCTAGTTCTGCAGTTGCTCTGCAGTCGTCAATGCCTCACACACGGACCGCCGCCAAGGTGTGACCTGTGGAGAAGGCGCTGACCGGCGTGACCAGTGATGGAGGATGGTCGACTATGACCTGTGTGGATTTGCAGTGAAGCAAACATTCCCCCCTTTGTGCCCCAAAAAATGTTTGGTCACATAGCAATACAAAACGCAAGACCTTCGGTCTGACCGGTTTTACAGGGTCTCTACTTTGAGAATTTCCTGTTCCAACGGAATGGAAAGCATTTTAAAAGTGGATGAATATAGTGGATGACATGAAATGACATCTCATGTGGCCATATTGTTGCAAAATCAAAAACACAATGTGATTGGCTGTGACTGTTCCAAGCATCCAACGAACCGCCTCGTTTCCGGTGCTTCTACTCCGTCCCATGACTCTCACCGATGAAGGACAACGTTGCACGGCCTCTCCTGGCCGACCTCCGTTGAGGTGATTTGGGTGGGTGCCAGGGTTGGTCTGTTCCCACCTAAACCTGAACAGGTGGGACCGGAGCCCCCCACAGGCGCCCCCCACCGGCCTAGGGTTCAGTTCGGCCCCACCGTCGAACCACAGGGGCGCGCGAGCTCTATGGTGTTCTGACTTCTTGGTCTTGCGAACTCTGCGACCGGGCCATCGACCGCCATCGACCGGGCCGTTTTTGTTGGGGGTAGAACTCCCGAGACATGCATCTGAGTCTGAATTCATTGGACATAGAACTCCCTCTAAGTTGAGGTGTTCTTAAGAAGCTAGCATGACTAAGAAAAGAGCTTGTAGAGGGAATGAGCTCATTGGTGGATTCCAATGATTTCAAACCCAAATCCACCTGTCACGCATGAGCCCTGAGTGGATGTGACCCAAACCAAAAACACAACACGGCTCCGACCTTGGAGCCTATCGGGCTCGTCTAGTCCAGGAAAGCACTTGGACGTCTGCAGGTGTTCACAAACCTTGGAGCCGAGACGACGCGCCACACACCCCGATGTTCGGTACCAGCGATTTCCAGCCAAAAGCCAAGCAAAGGACATCGCTGGGTTGGAAGTGCCACACACCCAAAACACATGACCCTTCAAATACCGTGGGATTTGTTTCAAGTGGGTCAATCACCGGGCTGGAACACCTAACAAATGACCCCTATGCTATGGACCCTTCAAAAAGGCTCGACCCTTGTGCCATGAACACTTGACCCTATCAAGTTCTGATGCAACAAACAACTGATGAGAAGGCCTTACGATTCGTGTCAAACCTTCCACATGAACCCCTTCAAATCAAATCATCCAAACAACAAGGTCTACACGCTTTGAATCATTACCAGGACCTTCTCTGGACGAACTGGGCTGGTCTGCAGCAATGATGAGCCACACACGAAAGAGATTGCAAAACCTGGCCCGCACTTCCTCGAAAACCAAGTCCACTTTCAGAGTATGCCTTCCCAACATCGTTCTTTTTACCTCCAGGACATGTTCTTTTCATCCGCACTTAGCAACCCTTGCCAGCCACACAAGAAAGTTCGAGGGTTCTACCACCGACCACCTTGACAGAAGAAAGCATAAAAACCACTCTTCCCAAAACACCCTGCACACGGCATTCGGCACCCCCAACACTCTTCCCAAGACACCCCCCGTACTGTGCCGGTCTTCCCATCCCAGGCGCAGCATGTGGTCTGCGATGGCCGGAGGCCCCGTCGCGCCACTGCCCAGGTCCACGAATGAGACCTCCTGCGGGTGTCCAATAGCAAAGGGTACCCAGGATGGTGAAGAGGATGTGCAGGATGTGTGTGTGTGTTCCTTCTTTTTCCAGGGGGGGAGTTCAATCCATGGTTCTTCAAGCTGCAACTGCTGATAGGTCCTAGATATGTTTTTCATGCAACAAAATCCCCAAAGCCGATTTTCTCTGGCTCAAAGCCACTCTCTCTCTCTCTCTGTGGAACAATCAGAGACTCCTTCCCAAGATCCAAAAGACGCCACTGTCCACCAAAGACTCAGATCCTTTTGGTTCAGTCCGCACCTTGTTTTAGTCTAGTCCGCGAATCTCCGGGCTCCTCCGGGTCGTGCAAATCACAAAGGCCATCCTTGTTGACATCCTGCCGTGGTCTGCTACCAACTGAGGTTCCTATCTGTGAGGCCGGGAAATGCTTCGGAACCCGCATCGGGGCAGGGAAATCCACACATATTGGCTCTTGGTGGAGGATGCATCAAACTTCTGATGATTTAAGCTATTTGGAGTCTGTCCCAACATGGCAAAAACAGACCCCGCGTGGCCGTATAAATCGGATTCAGATTCGGAAAGACTGGCTCAATCATGATGCTCTTGATGACACGATCTTTTGGATTGCCTGGGAGTCATGATCTCTATATCAATTCTTTGCCAAATCAGTTTTGGAATGACTTCGCAGTTGGACTTCAAAGTGTTTGTCAATTGTGTGCTCAACAAAGGATCGTGTGAAAAGTGAAAAGGCTGTCAAAAGGTTGTTTGACTCGGACTCGGCATCCACGGATGTCAATCAGTCAAACACATCAAAGGGAATATACACTCCCGAAACTAACATCGACCCTGACGATGGCCCCCCTGGAAGAGTGTTTTCCTCTACCAACCACTGGTTTTCAGGGTCCATTTTAGTCTTCCAGGGTGTAATGGAATATAGGAGATGGAAGGGGGAGCGACAAACACTACTGAACCATTTATGCAACCACCTAAACCTTGCAAAAGTTGCGGAAAGCGTTCTAGTTGGGGAAGCTCTTTTCTTCATTCAAGGCTGCAGCAAATTGTTTGTTTAATTGTATAGCTGGAACGGGTGGAAAATGGACAACCACCTCTGAATCTAATGTGCCCCGATCTGAATCAGCTACACACGTCGTCTAATCTGTACCCTCAGAACAACATCACTCTCAGCATCTCTGGGCACAAAACACTTCACGTGTTCTCTGCCATTCTTGCCAACACACAAGGCAGGGAGCATCTCCGCCAAGGCTCTCGAAGGGCATAGGTGACGCCACCAGCGGACCAGTTAATGTACACGGTTCCATCCTCGTTCTCGGGGGCTCGGGGGCGGCTCGACCGGCTCCGAGTTGCCTTGTGAAATCAGAGTGTTCAATGAGTAGTATCTTATATGGATTTAACGAGGTTTAACCAAATATAGACCCCCTACTCGACCCCCTGTCATAGATAGAAAAGTAAAACCCCTTTCAACATGTATTGGAAATCGTGCCACTGTCTATTTGGTCACCGATTGCTCAATTACTACAGTCAGTCCTATCATTGCAGTCCTTTGAATGTATAGAACCGACAAATTCCAACTGAGTCGGTCTTTTTCCATAAAAAACTACTCGGTCGTATGAACATCTGGCGAGTCCAAGCCGGCCCAAGCTGTTCTTTTGCGAGTTTGGACAACGAGTGCTCTCCATCCCAACCTCAAATTCTTTCCACTTCGGGGACCGGGCCTTGGAGATGGTCGCGGCAGAGAAGAGGTCTGGAAGGCAGATTTGGTCCATGGTGGACCCGGCCACCCCCACACCATCCCAAGCCTCGAGGAGCGGCGAGTGGAAGAGCACGCTGAGCTCGGAGGATTGAAGTCAGAGAAGTGCTCTGACTTCAACTGTATCTACATCTATGTGCGTGCAAGTAGATGTAGAGTCAACACTGTGAAGCATCTTGACACCATGAATTCATTGTGAGTCCTGGGAGCCAGCAAAATACATGTGATCATGCAGTCTGCTTCAGGGTGTGTGTGTGTGTGTCAAGCTCTTGTTCATCGAGCCAGGATGTGTCTGCAAGACAGAAAAGTTGATAAAACTACCCGCCCTGGAACAAACATAGAATCGAAACCCTCCTGTTTCTACGTAGAGGAAACTTGTCTGGTCCAAGACCCCATTGTCCACGCTATAGTCATAGTTACTACTGACCAGCCAATCGTTTGGAACGACCTACGAGCAGCATGTTGCCCAATAACAAAACACCGGTGCCGCCACCGGTCGCGCCGCCGCCCGAATTTGGCCCAGCCACGGCGGGTTCAAAGCTCCACAGCACCTCACCCGTCTCCGCCTCGAAGAGGCCAACAGGGGGGAGATGACAGGAGAAGGATGGAGAAGGGCGGAATGGATTGAAAGGGATTCCCAGTTATCAGGCGCGGAATGGGTTTCCCTTCTCCAGGTGGCCTTTTTGGGCTGCAGGGCTTCACCCTTTGGGATCAGGAGACCTTCCAGAAGTGGTGTTGGACTGTGACTTGACTCTCAGTGATGGAATTCCAATGGGGATGGGACCTCTCTCGCAGCACATGCTGGAGACGTGCCCAGGTTCCCGGGTGGGGTGGTGGGATCCTCAGCGACACCCCGTGGCCCAAACCGCTTGCACGGCCTGAAAAGAATGACTTCATGTGACCTGGAAAGTCCCCGTCAAATAAATTAAACTCAGTAGTTCTAAAAAAGAAACAACTCCTGGGGCGTTGGCTCCAACGTTCCCCAGTCAAACGAGCTAACTAACTTGGTAAGTCGACACCCAACGAAGATCGACTGCCAGCGCTGCCGGATCGACACCCGAGCAGCATCTGCTGCGAAGACGGTGCCGTTGACGTGCCGTGGAGGGCCAATGGGCACTCCCGCAGGCTCGCCCATGCCGAAGACGACGGCTAAACCTCAGAGATGAAGAAAGAACTGGCAAGTTGGTCTGTTCTTTTAAGGAACCGGCTAATAGCCGCGATGGCCAGATAACCTACTAGCAGCTAGGACTCCGACCTAAAGCAAGAAACATAGGGGAAGATCAATGTTCATCTTGAAATCGCCCCTTCAAGAACGGTGGATGGATGGTTTATTCATGTTTATTCCAACGCACGTCAACCAACCAACCATGCTCCCTGTCCCATCGCGACTCAGACTGCCCAAGGGACTGGCCATGCTTTTGGAGGATCAATACCCAAACACTCCATGGGACTGGCATATGCGGATCAGTTGTGGTTGAAAAGGGGTCAATCTAGCCGGGATATTACCATACATGGAGTGCCTGAGATATTGAACATCACCAAGCTACACGCCATCCTGTGCTAAATACACAACTGCCACCCACCCCTGAGCTTTTCCCCATCCAATCCACGCGACGGTTGTGTCCATAGACCTTCCCCACTGCGGGTGCATTGTGCACTGCGGCGCTAAACTGCTTGGTGAAGATCCGCTCACCAGTACTGATGTTGAGCGCTTGGAGGCCACCTGTCCTTGATGAGCGCAACAAGCAATCGAAAAGGTGAGTTGTGCCCTGACTGGGCAGGCGCAAAGGGTGAAGAGAGTTTGTATAGGAATTACGGGATTCAAGAAAAAGGTTACCCCAATGATGACATGATGCCCAAACGCTCCAAACAGCCCTTGGTCCCTCAACACGGTACCATAGGGATTTGAGGGTCCAAACCCCTCCATATGAGGGCCCAACCCCTGCATATGAGGGTCCACGAGCGTCTGGGTGATACAAATTACTGTATTTGTATGTGTTTGTCGATTCTTTCAGGGGTGAGGACATGTTCTCTATAGTCAAAGAAATTTAAGGATCTTGCCAGATCATTCCTATATGTCTTCTCCACGCGCTAACTTTCAGTAACGCACCAAGCTACTCCTCCGCGATGGAAGAAGTGATAGCACCAAAACACAGGTGAAGAAAACACAGGAGATGATATACTAGTCAGATGTTCTTTTCTGTATTTGGGGAAGGAAATGCAAGTTATGCAGGATGTTCTTTCAGCAAGAGCTGGAGGAAATAGATAAGCTTTGGATTGAAACAGTCCAGGATTCAATGATAGTGCTAATCTGTGCTAACGGTTAGATATGGTTAGTGGGACACACACACACACACCAAATACACGTTCCAGGCTCCTGTGGGATGGGGCAAGACTTCTTGTCCAGGCCTGTGCAGGCCGATTTTTGAACCCAATGAAGGACACCAGCTCGGCGGTTTCCAACCCGAAAACCGTGTTTTGTTTGAGGTGTTTCCAACACACCTCGATTGGCAAGGCCTGAAGCCAAAGGTCACAAAGCACCTTGGCTTCAGCATCTACAATCTCAAGGTAGACACCACCAAGGCCTCGAGTTCAGTAGCCCACCAACGGCACCTCCCAGGCGCCACTGGGACCTTCGTCAAGTCGCTCATTCTTACCGGTCCCCACCGAAAAGCCGTTGTAGACCTTCCCATCCGCGCTGCACGACACTCCGCCCAGGGTATAGCCTGAGTGGTGCGAGTGGAGAGTTCACGCGAGTCGCTGGGAAGATGGTCTCCTTAACTTCCCGGAAACGAAGACCTCTAGGAGCTGAAGGAGAGACCGACTGAGGAGAACAAAAGAATGAGGATGACATGATCAGTAGATCAGCAGCAAAAGAAAGCAACGACAGATTTCATGCCTTCAATATTATCAAGGCTCACTTGTCCTTCTTGCGTTCTAGGCTCACAAAGAAAACTCGTCCAAACTCTACAGGCAAAGCCTGACTCTCGCTGGGGGCTTTGACGAACGGATGTCTTGGCGATCTGCCGAAGGACAAGAAGGGGGATGTGACCATTGTGACCACTCCCTCCGATTTATGTATAGGAAGGACGCGACGATTCATGAGACCCCATTCTAAGTGTGAGAATGATTTGATCCGGGAGAAGGCATATCTTCAGCCAGTCGGCTCGCGCCACGTTTCGACCGCGGCCGCCCTGGCAGTCGACGGCCGTCTGTGTCTCTCCAACCGTGGTGCTGCCAGGCGAGAGGGCCTCCTTCTTCCAAATCACCGAGCCATCGGATAAGCGCAAGTGATAAATGCCACCGCTCACATCGTTGAAGATCTGCGCCAAGGGGGGACCGGAGGGAGGGTTTGGTTGCCAAAAAGGCTTGGTGGCGAGGGTTGGATCCTGTCTTTTGGCAATGTTTCACGGCCAAAACAATTTAACAGCACAGTAAGTGTGTCTGCTGGGGCGCAAAAAGAGCGCTCATATGGATAAATACGTTGATGAACATCATTATATTTTGCGGGGTCTTGTCTTTCACTTGGAACCGATCACTCCCTAGAAGGAAGAAACTCCCATCATCTTACCCATCTGCTTCTGACAGTTCTACTCCTCTGCCACCCAAAATGCCACTGGAATTCGTTCTGTGGAGTAGACTAGACAATATACTGAGATAACTTACAAGATGCCATTTGGACATACAGAATCTGCATAGCCCGTCTGACCTATGTATACTGTATAAGCATTTACCTGTCATAGAAAATGATTGAATGTACGTTCGCCGTGTCCGCCATGTCAGCTCCGAGTGGCAACGGAGGTCTCAAACATGCAGGGCGCCAGGTTCACTGTGGAGGAGCCTGGGTGTTGGAGCAAAAGAAGAACAAATCCGTCAACTGGTGCAGCTGCTCAACACGTCCAACAGCTGTTGGGGTTGTTCTAATGATTTTGGTGCAACAAAGGGCGTGGGGGAAGGCCAGTGACGGATGGCGTTTGCAAGACTTGCCCAAATGGACGTGATGACGTGGGCAGCTTAACCGTTCCCGCCAGAAAACTGGTCACGGATTGGTACGCTTGGACCTGCAAGCATCCTCAAGCATCTTCCCGAGGAAACTGCCTTGGACCCAATGCAAAGCACAGTGGATGAAATAGCTTGGGCTCGTCCCTCAGCCCGGGACCTCTGTGATGGACCACAAAAAAACCCTACTGACTGTCCCTACAGGTCAGTTTGACCCTCATTTTACTGGATTTGGTCGCACGGAAACACGACTCAATGAGGTTCTGCTTTGGACCTGGGAGAACGACGAACAACCAGTCCTCCGACGGGCAACTCCAGTGGGACGCGTCAAAATGGACCAACGAAGTCTGACCCAATCTAATATTCTTCCAGGTTTTGTAGTAAGGTGCTCGATCATTGCGTTGCCGAAGATAAAATGGTGGGTCCTTCATCGCACCCTTCCTTCATCCATAGAGTTCTTTTCCCCTGCGAAGGGCCATTTCTCCCCGAAAGGCCATGAACCTGTGGTTCATGCACCCTCCGCAGACTCCGCAAATCGAGTAATCTATAGTCTACGCAGACCGACTCTGTCAGCCTCTGTCAGGTCACTTGAAGTGGACCCTTTCAGAAAACCGGTCACCAGTGCCTCCGCCGACCGCCGTCAGAGCCGCGCCTGGTACCTCGAAGGTCCACAAGAGCTTGCCGTCCGAGCGCCGCAGCAAGGCCACCGCCGGCGAGCCGGTGCGATCTTTGGGATTCATGAGATTTTTCTCAGATCGGGTAAGTCAAGGCGTCAAAGGATGTGTCTTGGGGAGGAGGTGGAAAATACATATTTCAGGGGACTTAATATGAGGTGCTTTGCTGGCGTTTGGATGTGTTTGAGATTTTTTGTGATGTTTTAGAACACACTGTGATGAACAGGGCTGCACTGGATGGCACTGTTTATGTTGCGAGGACATCTGGCTTGTTGGTGGGAAATCCATGTACTGGAGCATCGATCTGGTGTGCGATGTGGAGGGTTCAAATTCAGAACATCATAGCCTCCAACCCAATTAATAATGGCCTCCAACCTAGAAGCGATGGCATTGCCTCCAACCTAATAGAAAGTATGAATTCGACATGGAAATACAAACCGTGATATAGCAACATCGGCAAAATCGGGCAATGGGAGGGTCCTTCGTGAACTCCAGATATGGCTGGCAGAAGCCCGGACCACCAAACGTGACCTCCTTTTGCTGGACTATGCGAGGACAATTCAAAGTTTGCAACAAGTGACTTTAACAAAAAACAATCATGTGAGGATCGGATCACATTGCTGGACAACACTCCTGTTTCACATGCAAAGTAAGTACGAGTACTGCAGCCTGTGAAGAAGACTGGTTACTGAATTATCTGTAATTACTTCTTCTGGTGCTAGGTCAACAAGATTGTAAGAATCCTCAAGCCGAAGGTTACTCTGTCGCTCCAGTCACTCTGGGCGCAGGATCACAATCTTCCAAAAACCCTTGACGAACTGGGACGTGTTTGTTGTCATTGTTTGTTGTCGACACTACGAGAAACGAACTCTCAAACGCCTCGAAACCGTCCTATTCCACCTCGTCCAAGCGTCTTGATAGCCGTATGGCATAAAGAGAAACTCTTCTGTAGCTGTCATACCTCTGTTCAATGCGACTTTGTGATCTGTTATGGACAGTCATCCATGTCAAACTCGTTTTGACACGAATATGTCTACAAATACGTCCAAATGGTCAGATGTACCAATATGGTCTCTGTGGATCTCACATGATCCCAAGGTGTTCATAGGTGTTCAGGATATGATCTATGAACAGCAATGTAGAACCTTGATTAACAACCGCCCCCAATTGGAGTGCAAAACCTCTTCAAATTGAGAGGTTCGTGTCTATAGCGCGACTTGCGGTCCCTGTCCGTCACGGCCTTTCATAGGCAGTGAAGGTTCGTGGATATAATCAAGACTCTACACTATGATTCTGAATGCTGTTCGAAGCCTTGATTCTACACTGAGGTTCGTGTATATATATTTCAAGGTTCGCGGTTCAACTGCTTAGTAGAAACATGTAAAGAATGAGGGAATGACCCCTTACCATAAATACCTTAGGATTTCATGCTAAGCACCAGAAAGCTCTGCCCACCCAATTCCCAACACCCAAGACGAGTGTGCAAGGTGTGTTGAGGTCCCCAACAAAAAAATGGTTCCGAATGGACACTCACTCTGCGGGAAAGTAGACATGGAATGAAAAGCAGCAGTTCGGTATGGTAACACATACATGGCACGAAAAGGAGCTCCAACAGCTTCGGCATGATGCAAGGTATGTGGTGACTGTGCAGAGATGAATAGTTTGGATCCAAAGATGTCCAAGTGATGTTCAAGGAATTGAGAAGCTCAAACATGTGGCAGTGACTATTGAGATGTACCTTGGGATTACTTAGAATCATTATACTCATCCCCGACTGGATGGAACGTGAGAAGGGAAATAGCAACACTGAACAAACTCCAAATATACTATTTGCGGGATGACTGCACCAACGATTTGAGCTACACACAACCTTCAATCAGCCTTCTGTAAAGCGGTGTTCTCTTTTTATCCAACCAGTGTTGACATGGTGGTTCTATGGGGTCTCAATAGGTTCTCAGAAGTCAAACATGTTTCTGCAACTGGTTCGCGAGAACTCTCCTCCCCAAAGTCTCTGTTGAGGGCTGAATTCTGTAAACATTCTGTAACGGTTATCTCTAAGCACAACAAACCATCCCCACGATGCCGGGGACAACATGCACCGTGGCAGCCATGCAGTGCTTGACCAGTGGGACCAACCGTGGCACCCGTCATTTTTTTGCCCTAAGCTCAAACAGTTTTGCTGAGTTTCCGTGTTTCTTTCATCCACATATATATTTAAATTTTATACATATATTATTCATATACACCCCCCTGCAAGAAGTAACATAGACTATTATTTATATACCCCTACAAGAAGAAGTGACATGGACCCTCTGTCATATGTCATATGGTCAAATCAACTTATACCTGTCTGTCTACGAGAAAAAGAACACCGATGCTGGCACAAATGTACCACCTGGGTTGCTTCCTCTCTATCTTCCTTTGCTGATTCTTGAGCGGTTTTTCTACTCCAAAGATGTCATAGCTCATGGAGAAGCAAACCCCTCAAGAACGTGACTTCTCCCTGGAATTGAAAGGGTCAAAAAGGCCGGAATATTTGAGGGAATGACAGGATCGGTGATGCACTTCTGATGGCTAAAAGATGATCCAACCCTATTGATCCACATACCGAACCTGAGGTATGGTGATTGGAGGCTATTTATGTAGGCTTGGAAGGTCCAATTACCTTCTGAGAAGGTGGCAGTGGATGCATAGGGCACGGTGATCCACTCTGCTTCGTCTTCAAAGGATGATTCACTCCGCTGCTCCGCTGGTGGTCCAGGTGGCTGTAGGTGTCATCCGGCAGCTCCTCTTCCAGCTGTCGGTGCCAGAGGATCCGACCGTCGGTCATGTCCAAGGCCATGACCTGAATGAAGACGAGCCGTCGGGTTTTCGTGTGCGGTCCATGTGTCCCGTGTGTCCGAATTCCATTTGGGGTCGTTTCAAGAGGTTCTGTAGTGGTCCATTTTGGGTGGCTGGAATCAGAATGGCTGCTGCTTCAACTGAAATCCCATTTTGGGATATTTTGGGGGGGGTCTGTTTGTTTTGGAAGGGGCTGCCAAATATAATGATCTGCCGACCTGCCAAGCCTGGGTGTGGAATAAGAGAATCCTCTTGTATGAGGCGGTTCCTATGACTTTGAAGGATGTCAAACACACTGCAAATCATGAGGAGGAGTCCCAACTTGCAACTCACACCCGGTTACCCTGAAGATCCCTGAGGTCTGTTCACTTGGGGCATCCTTTTCCAAAGAAATCGAGCGGGTCCACTGGTCAACCTTGCCATAAACCCCAAATCACCGGCGGCCGCTTCCATCATTCGCCGCGGTCTTCGCCCGTCGAGCGACGGAGCCATCATCACAGGAGGTGTAGAGTTTGGAATCGTAGAGGAAAGGATTTTGACCTATCGAGCGAATCGAGTGCGAGGAAACCACGCCGGAGGATCAGAACACACATTGGCCGGAACCGAAGAGAACAAGGCTCTCAAAATGATGTGCAAGGCTCTCAGATTCGTCAGATTTGGTTCTCTTGCTTTCAAGGTTGTGCTTTTCTAGTGCTGACTTGAGGTTGCTACCCTCTTTTTCATCAGGGCTGGTGATAAATATGAATATGTATAAAATCCCGATATGTGTTGCCGCGTTCAAACTTGTTTGGTGTACTCTGGATTCATTCAAAGTTAGGATGTTGCGTGCCATTTTACAGTGTTTGGCTCAATGAGGACTAGAGGCATCGTTTTACATGCATTGTATGGTCAAGTCATGCCACCAACAATGAACGGAAGCATCAAGAAACTGAGTTAAAAAAAAACAAAAACAAAACACAAGCACACAAACATGATCTATCCCCTGCAAACATGATCTATCCCCTGCAAATACAGTATCTGGAAGTGCGACGAGCGCTTTGAAGTCAGGAAGGTCAACACTGTTGACAGGCGGTTCTTCCAGCAAACGCCAACACTTTAAAATGTAGACTCTTGATTGATTATACCCACACATGAAGAGGTTGTTTAATCCGAAAGCGATTGTTTATCGGTTCATTGATCAAGAGTCTACATTACTGGTTTCTGCAGTTCGTGAACCCTGATTTCATGTCTTCGGCTTGAAGACACAAGCCTGCCTATACTTATACCTTTGTAGACTTGCCCATGGGGCACTGTCTAACCAGCTCCCGTTCTGCACCCTGTGGTTCATCGTTTTATGTCCTCACAGGCTGGGGCCAGTCCAAGGGCCAAGAGCAAAGGTCACAGCCCTCCAAAAGAGCAATCACAACCCCTGACTGCTTGTGACATTGGCAAGAACAAACCATACGCAAGCGAGCACAACGCAAAAAGAACCAGGCAAGTACACCCAAGAAACAAGCACAAGCACACACTTGCTTGGTGTCCTTCTAACCATGGAATATGCAGCAAGATAACTCATCTGGCTCATGTGGAAAAAAAGCACCAAGGGTGCCAATTGTTTTGCACAGTTTAGCGAAACATGCCACATGCTGTGACTGAGACACACCCTTTAAACGCTTGAGCATACATGCTCAGAATAGTTGCTGCATCAGGAGGACATCCCAAAATGAAGTCTAAACCTAAACATTGCAAGAACTAATAATGCATGTAACAAGAGGGGTATCGTTTGTTTGGACGTCCCGTATCGTTTTTTCAAGGAAAACTTGAAACCACTCTTGGATGAAACGCCCTTGTACAAGCAAATGCCAATAGTATTGAAAACAACTCATATTGTATCATATTATGGATCCACAACTGGATCTACATACTCTCTCAGAGGGTGATCAAAAACACCTTTATGTAGGCTTGGAGGGTCCGAGTAGGTGTAATAAACCATATATAAGCTATGTATTTATAATCAATGATAGTAATGTTAGTTACAGTAAATATATTTAAACAACTTTAAATGATGGTATATATATCAAGTGACTCAGTGAGGGAAAAGGCAGTGACTGCCTGGGCTCAGGTGTTAAAAAGGAGTCATTTTGTCAACTCTGTTGCATCCATGGTTGTCCACGCTCCAAGCCTTTTGCCAATACCAAATGCAGCTCGCATGTAATTTCACATGAGTGCTCACTGACCTGAAAAGAAACCGTTCTTCACTTAGCGTAATTAGGGCAAAAGGCTTGAAGAAATCAGGGCACGCCTTCAGAAATCCAAAGAAACACATGTAACTACTAATGATTCCAACCCTCCAAATGAAAGACCTTAAGCCACCCGTCTCAGGTTCTTCACCGCTCACCGTCCGTCTTCCGTCACACCAAGTGGCATGCTCTTGATGGGCCTTGAACGGTGCAAAGCATTCGGCAACTGTGAACGGCGAAGAGACTTTGATGGCGAGCCAGTCACCTAAACTTCTGAAAAAAGCAACACATGTGGAAGTTAAGTTCCCATCTTCAATCACAAAACAGTGGGTTGAGTTCTGAATCTTGCTGTCCTTTCCAGATCATCAAACCACCGGTGTGGTGATTGAACCACTGGCGTTGTATTCACTTGCCCGGCACTGGAAGACCAGTGTGTTTTTAGTATAAACATGTGATCTTCACACCCCCCCAGTGTGGGATGCTGTCATTGCAGGAAGGAACATTGCAACATATTATACACTTCAAATACAGCTTATCTGAAGAGTTGCAGTATTCGGGGGGGCTGATATTTCTTGCAACAGCCTGTTGCTTCGGCTGAGCTGCCAAGAACGATGCAAGATCATGCCAACCTAAACAACTCAACCTGCCGGACTATGACCCACACGGGAGGATAATCAACCATCAGTGACATGGTGAAGAAATACGGGGAGAATCAACATTGAAACCCAAAGGGTCCCATATACCCTGCACGTATTGGGAGTTGAGAAGCTTCTACAAAGTTGAGAATCATTCAACGACGGTTCATGGGATAAAGGTCCACGAAAGCGACGTGTGCACGCCTTAGACGGAGGCAGCTCCCCTGTTTGAGTGAGTATGGTGCAGCAAACAGGCGGCTTAGTGTCGCACAGCAGCGTCACTCAAAGGAGATCATCAACAAAGGCTGCGCTCCTTTGGACCCCTTTTCACTTTACGTTCTACTAAGTGAAATCAAATTCAATGACACTGGCACACTCAGAGCAGCGGGCATTCAGTGACTGTAGCCTCCTCAAAGTCACGCTGTTCTTCATATTCTTCGGCTTCCAGCGACACGGAGACCAAACAGCAAAACACCGTCGGCTGAGCATCGACCGTGGCACTGGCACATCCTCAGCCACGTCCTCGTCATGGGTGATCTGGGTCGACCCAACTCAGCCAGAGTCTACACGAGTCCATCCTGGGGGATGAAAAGGACTGGAGTGAGGGATTTAAACCTTTTTCACTCAAGAGGAACGTAGTCCTCTTCCGATCCCTCACTCCTAGTCGTCTTCGTCTTCGCGAGAGAATGCTGCCGCATCCACCACCCGCCACTCCTCAAGCAGCTGTTGCACCGCGGGACCCGCGGGACCCGCCCGCGTCGCAACGGCGGAAGGGCGGAACTCGTAGCCACCCGTCTGCCTCCGCAAGCCTCGAGTACACTTGCCGATGGCCGTGGGATCCAAGCCCAAGTCTAGGGCAGCACATTTGATGGATGGATGGGGCCTCCACTCATCACAGCTGCCATAAAGTCGGCTGTGAATTCGCACCAGGGGTGGATGGCAACCTTTGACCATGCCATGGGAATTGTTCTCAACCAAACTACTACTGTACTCGAGGTTCTCCACTGCATTGTTTGCCTTGTCAAGGTCCTTGTGTCTGACCTCTGAATTCCGCAGACTTGGAGGCCCGAGGAATGCATATGCCACCAACTCGTGAACAAGGACATGGTACCATTTCGAAGCTAGACAAATCTTGGTGCGGTAATACGCATCCGACCCATTAATTCGTCTATACCCTCTGGATTTGCGTCCATTCTTAGACGTGATGCGGCCCTGGGAGCTCACCATCCTACCTTGAACAGCTTCTCCGGATCTGGGGTCGATCATGGGTCGCCACTCCTCTGCTGCTGTGCATCGTTCAGGCATCACATACTTGAACTCCAACACCCCGAGCTTCGCCTCCCTTCGACAACGGTCCATCAGCACCTCGTACTTGATGCCCAGTTCTTCTGATGCTGCCCTGGCCGAAGGAAAAGTTCTAGACCTCCCAGAGGTCAACGTTCTCACCATCACTGGTTTTGACTTTCGATTTCTGACAGTGCCCCTCATGGGTCTGTCAGAAGGTGTGCACCACTCCAAGTTATCCAACCGGTTGTTGCTCCGGTTCCCGTCTCTGTGATTCACCTGCCATGATCCGCTTGGCGGAGGTCCATAGAATGCAAGTGCAACCAGGCGGGCGGCTTGAAACTTCTTACCAGCAATGCAAACCTCGTAGTAGCCTCCTGCACGCAAACATCCATAGCTAACGCCTCCTCGAGTGTTTCGAAACCTCCCCAGCGAACTCACTTGCCACTTTCCATTTGCAGCCACTGCAGTCCTTGCCCTCTTCAATGGCTTTAAGGGTGAAGCCACCTGCAGCAGCATCAGCGGTGAAGCCAAAAGCCATGCAAAAAGAGCGATCTGCCACCGCGAGTTCCGCACGACCATCTGCCGCGACACGGCGACCAGAGGCCATGGGCGGCCTACCTTTTGGTATAGGCTAATGGTCCTATGCTCGGGGTCAGTAGGTGAAGATCTCTGTCTAAGTCCCTCAAAAGATCTCAATCTATAATATAATTTCTAGAATATATATAGGTATATACAGTAGGTGTTGTGAATGGATTTACGCGTCTTCGCATGCTTCATCCTCCTTGGTGCTCTTTTTGCCTGTCCTCTCCGTTCCGTTTTCGTAGCTTTACCGCATGTGCTCTCCTCTCGCCGGAGCCCGAGCCATGCAAAGCGTTCACCGACCGCATCCACCGACCGACACTCGACGGAGCCGGCGGCCCGCCTTGCACCTCCCAGCGCTTGGAGCCCTGGGCATCGAAGCTCAGGATCCGTCCCTGGTCGCTGCCCGTGTAGATGTTCCGCTCGTGGTCGATGCCTGGTCGAACGAAAAGACGTTGCTGCGAACACCGCGGCACAAAGGGGTGAAGGGCCGGGCATTGGGAGCGAAGGGTGGAAGTTTGGGAGGTCGTTTTGTTTTGAACTGCGAAGGGGTGAATCCTAACATCATCTAAATTCATCTAACATCAACATCTAATTGATGCTTGTCGAACACTCATTGGATGTTTTATTGGTTGAATCCTTGGAAGTTGGGATCGTCTGGACCTTGAAAGATTAGGACACGGTTGCGAAGCTGGTTGGCTGACCATGCCCAGCATGCCATTTTCATATGCTGCCAAAAGTCACTTGGGAGAGCGGTTCGTTACGATTAGTTATTCACAGCCACAACATGGAAAGAAGATGAACAAAAGATGAGAGGAACGGTGGGTACTCTACTGGCAGTTAGGATTCACAGGTTCGTTCGGCAGGCACTCTCCAGATGATGCGGTTTATGAGGTGCTTTCAGTTCTCGAACCGAAGTGATCGAATTTGGGTGGCCTCCACGCTGAGCACACAAAGTACAATCAGTCACATATTTTCGGATTATAGATCCACTATGGTTCATTCTTCTTAATCATGGCTGCAGTTGCTGTATGGTGCTGCTGCAAAGACCCCACTCACAACTTGAATCAGGTTCAAGCAGTGACACTTCATAAGCTTAAATTAAGTTAATCAAAGCTCATCAAAGCTCTTGTTCATCAAGAAACAACAATACTAGACAAAAACAAAAACGCATCCAACAAAATCTGCCCAGCACATTCACCCCCTCGACCCAGTGCCATCCTTTAAGTCGGCGGCTCAGTTATATACCACCGAGTTCGCTTGAAACGCGAAAGCGAGGAGAGCTACCAGGACCACATGGTCGGGGGCGAAGGGACACCCATTCACCTCCAAGGGTCCCTTTCCCTGACACTGAATATATCTTATATCGCAACAACATATACAAAATTATTGCCATGCCTACATTGACCCCCCAAACCAGCCCAACGTAGGCAAACATGGCAGTCCCATTAATCGGCGACCCTCTTGGTGTAACCGGGTATAGGGTGAAGGGTACAGTGAATGACAAGTGACTCCGAACAAGTCTAGCACAATCCGAAAGCCCCAGGAGGTGCTGAGGGGTCAAAGGGTCTCTAGAATTCTCTCAGGGTCACTAAGGTGTTCTTCACTTCGGACCCAAGGACTCCATCCATCCCCCTCGACTCGACGCCCCCTCTCCGTTTCCCCCCTCGTACCGAGCCACAGGGTGTCTGATGGAAGTTCATGCCAGCTTCCTCGAACCTTGGACCCCGAAACCGAACGGACCGAAGGACCGAAGGACCGAACCGAACCCCGGAGAGTGTCGGTTCGGACGGGAACGGCCCAGCGGCTGGGCTTTGTTAGCACTCAGGCCGGCCTGAGACCCCAACCCAAGCAGGTTGGGGTGGGTGATGGTCGTCTAAGAGGACGTATTTTGGTGGTGCACACGTCCCAAACAAGTTCCTTCGATAAGCCTAAGTGTGTGACAAGTTAGGAACTCCCACAGTCCATCATGCTCTACATCCAGGCAATTTTCGGTCATGTGGAGAAGTGTCTAAATGTCACACATGAGTCACGCGGACGTGATTGGCGGATTGGCGAAGGCGAAGGTGTTGAACAAACCCAATGCCCAACGAAAACGGCACAAGGTATCACAAAGTCAAATGCTCTCATGCAATCCATCCGTCCCACTTGAAGAATTCACAGGAACAATGACTTCCATGTGGGATCGACACTGATTCCTTCTGTGAACTGGGAGGATGAATCACCTAAGCCAGAAAAACTCAATGTACGGTAATATTAATTTCACCAAAATCACCAACAAACTGGATAACAGCAAACTAGCTGTTTCATCTTCAGATCACAAAACATAGAAAACGTGATTGGACACAAAACGTGCTGTTTTTGGACACATCGCAGTCGGTGTCTCCCAGTAGTCCGACACCCTCTGGACACCCCGTCTCACGGTCCAGACGTTCGGCCGAGACGCTTCCAGCTGGGTGCCTTCAGAGGCCAAGGCCCGGTGGCATCGCTGTAGCCCGAGCGGTTGTAGTCCACCGCGCGGCCGGGATACCTCGACACCCGAGTGATGAAGTGGGGGTGCTGTGAGGGGCGATTTCGAAGCGGTTCAGAAGGGTTGACATGGCGAGTTCAAGGCGGTAAAGTGGTGAAGAAATGGGTTGGATGACATCTTGAATGAAGCAGAGTATGTCATGTAAAATATATCATTTCAGGCAGAATCCTTAGGTCATTGGGAATTGGTGTGCTGACCGTCTGAAGGGGCCAACACGGGTGTTTCACCGCATGGCGCGAGACACGGTCGCGAAACAAACATGTTACACAGGCAGCTTTGAGCCATAGCAGGGCATCGTCAGCATATATCTGGAACATCACACAAGGAGTTATATGCTCTGGAAGGGGGTCTGGAATGATTTTCACATCTATACGCTCTTTTTCCTCAAATGATCTTTTGGGGGGGTTCTCTTTTGATTTGTTTCAGAGAAATGTTGGCAAGGTAAACATCCAACTATTCAGAGTTCAGTTTCTTTGCTCAGGTTTCCTCAGGGAATCTTACAGATTGTTTGGAAAATGTACACTAATTATATAGGGGATCAGGTCTATTTCTTTGGGGAATCTCTACTTTGCGGAAAGCGAACGAACACCGAAAAAGATGGCGCGGGCGCTGGGAAGGGCCGGGACACCAATAATCAGTCTTTCGATGCACAGCCTTTGCAATCTGGATCTGCACCAGGTTCACACCACAGTTCTCATCCACCTGAGCGGTGATAGGAACTGTTGGGGATTGTTGGAATATCAACACCAAGTCATTTGTTGATGTGCCAGTTTTGACTGTATATCTATGCAGCAATGAGGTGTATGTTATGTATAAATTTGTATTCTTTGGGTCTGGGGATCCAGTGGTTACTGTACTTGGCATGAACCATGAACCATGCATGAAAGCACGGTCATTCACCACCTGCTTTATCTGCCTGGTACTCTCGCTACATCTCTCCGCTCTTGTTTGCCCAAAAACGGCCCGCACACGGCTGCGAATTCGACCGACCACAGCCGCGCGTTCCCTCCGTGCCGGTCCAAGTGGCACAGGAAAGCTCCTCTGCCGCAGTCGCCCAAAGGAGGCGAGCCAGTGCTACGGCCGCCATGGCCACGCCGTTCGTTGCCATGGGGTTTTGACGAATGGGGCTCCGAGCGCCAGGGTTTTCACCGGAGCTGAGGAAGAGAAAGCGGCGGTGTTTCGTGTTTTTTTTCCTGAGGATGGCGAGGTTTCTTCTCGAAGAAACGAAGCGAACGAAGGATAGAGGAGGAAACATCCGGTGGCTGGCCCCCCCAGGTGTATGGATTTGGTTGGAGAGAGGAGGGAGAAGCCTGGGTAACCGGGGATCCCATATCTTAAAGGGTGTGGAAAGATCGGGACACATAGCACCCTTGGGCGAAAGCAATGAATCATTAAAAACGTGGATTGTTCTCCAAGAAATCCTATAAATGGATTTGTTGATGAGTCTGCTTTATTGTATGTGCAAACGCCGACTAAGCCTGGCTGTCCGCTGGGTATCTACATTGGACATGTTTTAAAGAATTTGGCAGTATGTATCTGAAATCTCTTTGCAACCCCTGCCTGGCAGCACCTGGAAAGGTTGCAAGAACCAGGATCGAACCGAGTCTGACTGTCGAAGCCAGGTTGGCAGGAGTTCTTCCCCGCAAGGACCCGGGGAGAGGTGTGTGGCGTGTTCCCACCAGCAAGACAGCCAGCATTCCTTAGGCATGACCTGGTCGAAGGTAGGGCATGCACATGGCATACACATGAAACCAGTCATGTTTCAGCCACTCTTTTGGAAACTCATCACAACCACTGAGCAAACACCAGAATTGTAGATCATTGGTGATCCTGATTCGGTGCGCGAAGAGCGAAGCATCGTGCCTGAGAAGAAGAGAAGCAGTAATGGGTTTCACCCATCGCCATGTTGGATGGACATACGACCTGGGCTATGATCGGGGCTTCCAGAAGATCTTCCAGGAATGGAAGACACGAAACCTGGGTGCGGCTAGGAGGTTTGGTGGTCAGTTGAGGGGCGAGGGGTAATCGTTCACCCCTTCGTAGAGTTTCCTGACAAGGCTTAGCTCCGGTCCAAGCCTTGAACGCAGCGGATGCCCAGCTGGGCCACGGAAACCATGGAAAGAAGAGAAGACAACCTGCAAGAAAGATATGATATGGCCATGGGTCAAAACCGGCAAGAATGAATAGACTTCCTGGGAGGTCAACCTACCCTGCGGTTTTGGCTCCAGGTGCCATGACCTACATCCCACAGCATCCTTATATGGCCGGAAAGCCAAGTTTACCCAATGTAAATATGTTTACTTTTCCGAACAGACTTTTGGATTTCTGAAAGGAACTGAACGGATAATAGGATGGATGAATTGAAAGCCCCCTGGTTCATCTTGCCCCAAATACTATTACCCCGATTGAAGATTTGGAAGAACAAGTCTGAAAGCCAAAGGAAACCTCCACGGTTTCACTTCTTCCCTTGGGTTCCAGCATCAAACTTGGATGTTGGTGTCCGGTCATGCTTAGTTCCACTGCCAGGCTTAAAAAAAGAGGCTTTTCGACCATCTTCATCATCGGCACCGGACTTCAACGCCTTTCCCCCTCAACCGCCGACTCCCGCACCACCGACGACCCCACACGTCGCGTGAACCGGGCCGTTGGACCACGCTCTGGCACAGTGTCGCCAGTGTGGTCAAAATCACCCAGGATGACCTCTCCGGATCTGTCGGAAGGTCACACCGTTTCGCGACGGGACGATGGTGAAGAGCGGACGGTTCGATGGATCGCCACTTGGACTTCTCACACCCTGCTCCATGGACCATAAGTTGGACAGTAAGATGTCGACGTGTGCGGAGGTCATCTGAGGTCATCTACAAGGTTTAACTTTCACCGGCACCCCGACCAGGCTGCGAAGAATGAGCTTCAGGTTGGGCGGCTACTCCGGGAGGATCATCCGGATTCTGGACCAAGCCCACAAATCCAACCACAACACGTCAGTCAGCTGCAGGCTCCAAAAAAAACAACACACATACTTGAAACACATGAGCTGCGCTCCAAAATTTAGGGAAGCTTCGATTGTTGGATGGGGCTTGACAAAGGCTTTCGATTGGAACACAGCTTTAGTAAAGCATATTGTGTTCAAAGGCTTTCGATTGGAAACCATCGATGTTCGTCATGCCTTCGTCCCATGCAGACATCGAGCTCCTCTGTTCAGAGGAAAAACTGGAATTGTTGGACGTCCCGCGCATCGCCTGTACACATAGTATTATATCTGTAGTTCATCAATATATATATATATATATATCTGACTCACTATATTTGTTAGTAAGTTAGGCACGCTGTAAGATGATGTAACCAACAACATCCAACCACCATTTTCCTCATGCTTCTTCTATACTGATGGCCTATTAACCACAAACATCTAAACCCTGGCGCACGCGGCCCGCCACCCCTCTTCAGGGCCCCACCTGGCCAACATCTTGGTCAGCGACGGAAGGCCCGTCTTCCGAGAGGCCGTCGCCGATCTAATGAACGAACTACCGGGGGCTTTAGCCTTAGGCTTTGAGCCAAACTCGCAGCAGCGGTGAGCCCAAGCTCCATATATGGCTCCTTTTTGGGGCTTAAGAGCTGACATAACGTATGTGTCTCGAAATCATCCAGGAGAACAGGGAGAAAGTTGAGGATGTTCCCACTTCTATAAACTGTTTGTAGGACTGGCGCAAGGGCAGAAATGAAGGAACTGACGTCAAAGACCAAGGCCACGATTGGCCTGGTAGCTCCATGTAGCCCCCCATGTAGCCAGTGTGTCATGTCCCACAAATCCCATAGAAAACTAAACTATGAATCTGAAACAACATAAACATCAACCCTTCATGTGGTCCTCGATCTTCAACCTACTGGCAAAACACCGGGCGCTGCAAGTTCGCGGTTCAGGGGACGGCTTTTTTGCACTGAAACCGCGGTTCGAGTGGACGCGGTTTCCGTGGGTCACTTCTCTTCCTTCTTCCGCTCGGGCCGCTGCTTCATCAGCGTTTGTAGCTCTTGCGAAGGAGCGCCCTTCCTCGGGCCAGCAAACCGATATCAAGATCATCAGCAAGAAAAGCAAGACTAGAAAAGGCAATTTCAAAGCAAAAATCATAAAGGTTTGAACTCAATCACAGGGAAAACTTCCCAAAACCAAGAAAGAACACGAATGAAAGAAGGAAAGCAAGAAGTTCTTCAAGTCAGGTGGCCTCCTGCCTCCTGTTCTCCCAACTTCAGAAACACATCGACAATTTATATATATATATAAATACACACACGACCAAAAGCTCACCGACCGTCTCCTGTACAAGACTACCCTTGGAACACAAGGACCTTACGGCCACGAACTTTTCCCCATTCCTCGAAACCCCTCAGAATGGAAAGGGCCCTTCTCCAGGTGGAAACATATGGAATGAAAGGATGCTATTCGTGGTTTTTCATGTTTGGGGTCTTGGGGTCTGGACCCCCTGACCCCCTTGACCCCCCAAACCCCCGATTCCCAACCGCTTCCCGCCGGCGTCGGGAAACCGAGGAGCTCTCTCCCGGTCCCCGGCCCAAAAACCATCTCCAAGGCGCGCCAAGCGCCGGTCCTTCTTCCGGCGGAGCTTTTGCTTTCGGGATTCCAAATAGAGAAAGGTGGGATCCTCAGGCGGTATCAGACGCGAGGTCTGAAGGAGGAGGAGGAGGAGGAGGGTGGTGTCGCGAAGAGTACAGACACGGATGGGTGGGGAAAGGAGGTTTATTCTATGGTCTTCCAGTAGCCGGGAGGAGATGTGTTTATAGCATAATTTTATAGCGGATAGCGGTTGAGAAAGTCTTGAGAACAGGCGAGCAGTTACTCAAAGACTCTTGCGACTTCGGATTACCCGATTGCAAACAACGTGGTCTTCCAAAACGGATGCAAACGGATTGCATGCAAACGTGACAAGCAACGGCGATCTAGGTCTGAAACCGGACCATTCTTCTCTTCCTTCAGTGTCTACAGTGTACAGAATTGTAGCCGCAGCATGCCGCAGCCACAGTCGGGGACACTGAAAACAAATAAATGACCATCGGATCTGGGAGTCTGGAGGATCCAGTGTGTGTCCAATTACCCGGTCAAAGATGATCGGTGTTTTGGGGGGAAGGGTCTTTACTCAATCATCCACTAGGCCCTGGTGATGAGATATACCCAAGTTCGATCCAACCCAAAGCAAACCGGAATCCGCTTGGAAAGAGGTGCTGCGACCAAGCGGGTTGGGGAGTCAAAAAGGGGGAAGTCCAATGAATGGCCTCTTCCAGGTCAAAATGGAGGGGATCAACTTTTAGGTGGGCCACCCCAGTCTTGAACTTCTTGCTGTGCGCTTCCTGTGCGCTCCAAACATGGGAGCATACAGTGGGGAGTTCCTTCGTTCGGATGGGAGTTCCATACAGATTTCATGTCCTCCAAACTCAGTGTGCACAGCATGTGTGCACGGAGGCACGGACCCCGCTCTACCAGGGAAGCTGGAATGTGCAAAAGGGCCTTTGACCATCTGCAGCAACATCTGGGAAGCTGGGAAAACACAGCGATTAATGTTCATCTGCTGAGTCCTTTCATGTCCTTACCACCTGGATCGATTCTCTTGTGGTTGACAGGACAACTACCACCCACGGGGGCCAAGGGATTTGCTGAGGCCTACTTCTGCGGGTCAAAACCCCAAAAAACTCAGTCATGACTAATCTTCATCATCTCCCAACAATCCTCACCTTCAGATGAGTGAAAATGTTTGTCAATGTCTTTCATCCATGTGCTCACGAACGCGAGCCGGCTCGCTCAGCTGGCATCACCCAGCACTGGGTGCCCACACCGTCAGCGCAGCATCTCCCATACCAGCCTGCGTCGGACGGGTCGGACAGAACCACGGTGCAAACGGTCTGAAGAACACATTGCTTTGTGTTTCATTGTGATTTCACATGTTGCTTGGTTTTACACGTTTGTGCTGCTCCGGTCGGTTAAACAGGGAAGTTCAGCCTATTTTGGTGGGGAGTCTCCGCCCAAAATGTGAAGTCTTCATGCAGAAAACGCCGGTCGGTTGGATCCGAACCCTGGACAATGCACGGCCCATTAGCTTGGCGGACCGGACCGGCGTCGGTCGGGGGTTGTGAGAAGACTGGATGACCGTGACACACATGACGTCATGTCTCTGGAGGAAGTATGGGACATGGAGTCTCTTACAGATGTCACATACTGTGCCGGATATCATGAGAAATCGCTGTGTGTTGTCACGACGACTGGCTACCCATGAAGAGAATTTTTCAGAGAGGACTTGCTGGGCTGGCTTCTTGATTTGCATCGCACAGAAGCAGCCACTTCTACCAATTCCAATTGCTTATAGTCCGGTGGTACTTCGTGCAGTCTCAAACAGAACACCTCCCTAAATTACTAAATACCACAAATAAACATATGATTTCACTTATTGGCACGCGACACGCGCTGACACAATATTAATATGACGCATTATACATAATCTGATTACACATTCAAATCATTCAAATCTCTTGTTCACTTTTGGTTCAGCCTCTTCACAAAAATGGGTTTCTCTTCATCCCAGCACCGTTCTGAACCCAAAACAGGTGCCGATGGTTCCGTGAACCGTGCCCATCAATCGCCCAGGCGGTTCACCAGGCGCACCGTGAAGCGCACGCGTGCGCTGGACCTGCATGGCTTGTTGCATCATGGAGATGTACTCCGTCGCTCGGTCGTAGTACTGCGCATCTTTGGTGGTCGCCGCCTCGAAAAACAAACAAACACATTGACCTGGTAACCTTTTGTTCGAAGCCGTGACGAATTCATCGGGAGCCCAAGGGCGGATCCGTCACTGGCGGATTGGTTGTGCAAAGTTAGTCACCAAGAATAACATAAATAACCAAACGTCCAATGCGAAATATGTTTCAAACTTTCAAATACTTCCCTGCGACTTCCGCGGAACATGATCGGTCGAAACAAAACATACTGACTGACTTCTATGCCCAGAGTTCTATTAATACACAAACACAGTATAGATCACAACTTCTCTAGGGTCTCTAGGCGTTGCTTCTTCACCTATTCCAAACTGTGCTTGTAGGAGGTGCATGTAAGGAGCTCATTTACATAACCAGCATCCAACGTCCAGGTAAAAAGGTTCTCATGTGCAGTCTGCGAAAGCGGCTCTACTGATCTACACGCGCACAGCAGGCTTTGATGATGATGGGTCGAACAATAAACCAATCAAGCAAAATTAACTTGTTTACTCCAGGCCCCCAAACGAATCCAACACGGCCCTGCTACGTGGCAACTTTCTGGTGGAAAACTCACCTCTGGTGATCCTTTGAAGCGGTTTCAGCCAACTAATTTTATATATAATATTGTACATTTCGCGTTGAGACAAACACTCCAAGCTGGATTCAAGGCTTTTTCAGCTACTTGTTGCCTTTTCGTGGTGGAAACACATTAGGAGACCTGAAAGACTTCAGAAGGTGTGGTGATAATGCCCTATAAACATCTATAAACACACGCTTCGCGCCCGCGCAGTCAGATTTTCATGCACTGGCACCATTCAAAAAAGGACAACACCACCGGCCTTCGCGTCGTAAAGGGTGATGAGACCCGCACAAATCTGGCTCACGGCAGGGTTCCTCGGTGACCGAAGACACCAAACTCGGTGACCCCACACCGACAAAAACCGCTGCGACCCCTGAGGATTCGACTTGTGACCGAAGGATTTCCGGAAGGAAGGAAGGATGCTCCCTCAACGTTCCGTGCATTTCACAAAAGGAATCGAAGGAAGGATTTCCAGAAAGAAAGATCTAACCAATCTAACCCAAACGCTCCGTGAGTTCACAGGCCGATGGATGGTCCCTCCAAACCGGATTCGAGACGCCAAACCCCCTCCGTATGAGGGTCCAGGGTCGCGTCTGCAATGTGGAACACTTCGAATACAGAACCAATATGGGATCCCTTGGAGCCGGGAACCGTCATTTTAGTGGATCAGCCTCTTCTTCTTCCTCCTCCTCCTCTTTTTTGTCCCCTTCCCTCTTGCTCATCTTTGCCTCTTCTGTTTCCTAGTGCTTTAGCTTGTCCTGTTCCTTTTCCTCTTCAGTGTCCTCAACTGTTCCAATTTGCTCTTCGATTTGGTTTCTTCCTTTTTAATTTTCGGCATCCTTGTCAATGGGCCTCTCATACGGAACTAGGCCGCAGCAGATTGACCTGTGCATTTCCACGGCCGTAGAAAGAAACAAGGCAATGGAAGCAAATTGCTTGCACTTGCTCATGGTGAAGCGGTGAAGTTCATTTCATGATTTCAGTCGATAGGCATCCATCCATCCATCCATCTACCCAGATTTAGTGCATCTTCTTGTCAGACTGATTCGATCTATACGTTCGGCCTCATGTTTGGGATTTCTTCGGGGTCGACCCGACGACCGTGCCGGCCCGACGTCGCTGCGCTGCGGTTCTGCCACGGGACGCAAAGCCGCCATTCTCCATCATGTCTTGCAGGGCCTCCTCGTAGTCCTGCGCTTGGACGGCACGAAGCCGAACGAAAAAAACACATCCCCGAGTTCTGTGGTGTCGCTTTGTCTTGGAAAAGCTGCTTTTTGTGATGTTGACATGGTATTCCACCTGTTTTGATTAGATACTATAGTACTTCAGGACTTGAAATCAAACAAAAAAAAAGATCGGGGGCCCAACGGGGTTCGCATGGTTTCCAATAGAAACTAGGAACCTGCTTTTCTCCTGCGATCTCACAGAACTGCGAACACGGTGGCAGTTGGGCTGACCATCGCGAAGTAGTAAGCACAATCGTTCTGCCTCAAAAGGGCTTCTCCTCTGGCAAAGGAGCATGGTACATGCACACCCTTTTTGAAACCACTTTGAACCAATTGAAACCCTGTCCAGATCAGGTCCGCAAAAAGCTGCGTAGACAAAGGCTAGCGGGTAGCCGGTACAGAAGGTCCAAATACAAAGCTTCCATCCACGACCGGTAAGAGTCTGCATTCCTCTAGACTGCTTGATACTTCTTGAGTGCCTGCTAATGAACAACAATCATCACAGGTTGCAGCAAGGGATGTTTTCTGGGGTGGAGTAGGTTCTCTTTTGGTCTAACAACCACCCCTGGTTGAGACCACACCAGGACCCCAGGACCAACCACACCCAGAGCTCCAGAGCAAAAGGCCTGAATGGCTCGATCGTTGTCGAAACCCTTTGCCACCACATAGCCCTCGCCGTACTCCACGAAGCTGGGTTGGATCTGAGCACCGGTGAGCACCAGGTGAGCCGGGCATGAAGTGATCGTCTCACGTGGCACACGGGTTGTGATCGTCTCGGTCCGGAGCAGTGGAGACTGAGGAACCAATGTCTGTCCATCGTGAGTGCAATGAGGAAGAGTGCAATGATTCCTCACATTTCATTTACTTAGGTAGCTCTTTCATTTACGGTGCGTCGCGAGACCCTAGCCTTCATGCCGAACATCACAGTTAAAAAGGTATAGCTCTTTCAAGGCCAGACCTCAAGGCCAGTCCTCCATGTGGCAGCTGGAAGCCCAAGAGATTCAATTCCAGGGATCAAACCATCCCTAGGGATCCAAGTATCTTCAGAGGTACGACTGGATCCCTAGGGATACTATTCACCAGTTTTCACCACTTTCCACTAAATGCTTTGGGTCCTGAAGGGTAGAACCAGATCACAAAAGACCTCCAAAGACCCTTGAACATCCATTGAAACAGTTATAAGTAAGTTAGCCGTACTTCAGAAGATGTTGCCACCAGTGACTTACTGAATCTCTAAATCGTGTTTTTTCTTGGGCTCGATGTTCCACTCGACTGAGAGGTTTTTTTCTGCGCTTCTGAGGCTTCGGACATTTCCAATCGACGGCTTCAAGAGCTCTGGAGGCACTTTGCCATCGAAGATCCCTGGCATCTTGGTGATTGTAGCTGAATCGAAATGGCACTCCGGAAGACAGCCCTGGTGAACGCCCCAAAACAGTTGATTCCTCCTGATTCATGTTGGTTCCATGGTGCTCTTGGCCTGTCCCCCATCTCATTCTTCAAGTCAAGTCAGCTGCTTGCTATCCCTTCCAATGCATTCAGAATCTGTGAGTTGGCCTAGATGCGTACACAAGTCACATGGGATGCTTGAAGCAAGCGGCTTCGTAATCTAACCCATTTTACCTCTGAGAATCCACGGGTTTGCCTTTAAATCCTTTTAAAGAACACTTGACACGCGTCGGGGGAAGAAGGCCAGTGGGTCATGACTCATGACCCTTGGCTTCCGAGCTCTCCGGTGCAGTCCCACCTTTTGAACGGGTCGGATCGAGGATCCATCCGGCTGGTCAAAGAAGGAAGTTGAGGTAGTAGCTATACATTGACCTACCCGGTGTTCGAAAAGCATCATTCTGATCCCACCTGATCCCCAAAATAGAATTGAATCTGAAACTTGTTTCTCAGAAGATTAAGATATGGCCTTTCCAGAATGTATGAACTCTATTGAGGTACCTTAGTCTTTTCAGTCTTAACATGTCCTTTGCAGAACCTGTCTTTTCGGTCGCCCTTCTCCACCTGGTCGCACAAAAAAACATGCCGGCCATACCCACCAGAAGGTCTTTCATGGCACCTCTATCGTCAGACCCACCACAGGAGCTTGTGGGTTGAGAGGAAAGACTCTTGTGTAACAACATGTTCCTAGTAGCTTCTTTGTTCCGTTCGTAGCGATGCCAGGAGCCCCGCTTCGTCGCTTCTTGTTACTAGTAAGGCCGTAGCGTCCGATCGCTCGTAGCTTCTTCAGCTGAAGTCGGTGACAGCTGGGGAAACCCGTTGGAATCGATGCGAAATCGCTTTCCAACGGCCAATGGAAGCATGCTCTGCTCGTGGCTTGCGACGCTTCGGGGTGTGACGAGATTGGTGTTTGGGATGGCCGGTGAAGCGTCCCATGATTGGGACGGTTGTGCTCATCATCCAACGACATCAAATCCAACAAATCCAACGACAAGTCAAGTCAACCCAATTCCCTTGTGCATGTCCAGCTGCTAACTAGCTGCTACACAAGCTTAAGATTGACAGGCAAAAAGACACCTTCCTTGTCCTGTGGTCTGCTTGGAAGTTTGTTTCAATATCTGAGAGGAATACAAACCTAGGTTTATGCATCGCCCTTCTGGCTTCAGAAAACACAACACTCAAGTAGATCTCCACTAAAAATGTGTTCGAAACCGTTTCTATCTATTGTGGGACCACTACCCAGACACTCCATGTATGTCATATATATAGTCTGCCGATCAGTTGGGGTGGTTTTGGGGGTCAACTGATCGGCATATATGGCAGTCCCATGGGTCGTGTCTGGGCTATACTGTCCAGTCAACGGGGTGCTCGACAGGACTGATCCACCACTCACCCGCCGATCCCGTCGAGATCTCGTTCGTTCGGTCCAGGTCGTGCCTTTGACGGCTAAAGGTCCGGTGTCTTCATCTCGTTTGCTGGAGCCGAAGATCAATGGAGTGATGAGGTGAAGAGAGTGGATCGGGTCGAGACCGGTCAAAGGAATAACTAAGCATAAACAGGACCTCTCAAAGGTTTTGATCCACACTCACACTAAGTCACTAGCCTAGCCTTTCATCTCAGACTTGAAACCATACTGCATGGTCCCCGCATGTCCCCATTGTTTGAGACAACAAATGTAGAACTTCTTGCAAAACATAGCCTATTATAGTATTCCTATAATAGTAGCAAAGTGCAACGGTCACTCTGAGACGTGCTGCTTGCTGTCAAATACACACGTCAATGAGGACACAATGTTTCTAACTCTCAACCAGACTTCAAGTCTGTCTATGTTCAAAAAATCTCTTTACGCACAAGCTCAGATTGGTTTCGCGATCGACACACAAGAATGAGTCAACAATTTGGCATTCAAATGTTCACACCATCGCCAAAAGAAACTCCCTATCAGCCTCTTGGCAATTTGAACACAACATTGAGTCATTGAGGCATCAAACACAGGGTTTGCAAGTTGCCAGCGGCTGTGGAGCTCATTTCAGCCTATTTCAGCTGCGAACGGCATGGCCGTCGACCACTTTCCAGGGCTCAACAAGGCTCAACATGGCTCCGGTCAGTCAGTGGGAGGCTCTGCCCACGTCAGGTGCTCCACCCTCTTTTCTCCGCTCGAGAGCGCACCTAAGCCCACAAAGGTGCTGCCGCGAACAGAGAGGAGATGTCTTTGATCCCCCAAAAAGTCATCGCGAAAACAGGGGATGATCCTTGTGCATCATTTTGCCTATTTTTGCCTCAATCTTGGCCAGGCCCACTCACTTTCCGGATTCATTCCCCTTTTCCATTCTTCACACCAGCCCCTGGACCGTCACGGGGGACAGGCAGCAGCTCCCCTCAGCCGAGACTTTCTCAGGGAAAGAGTGCTTCGGCCACAAGCCTGCCATGCAAAGAGGTGTCCAAACCGCTGTGGTGGTGGGTCATAGCACCACATGTCTTGTTCAAAGTCATAGTTGTTTTGCTTTGACCATGTTAAACGAATGGAGCTGAGATATACATAATATGTTTGTGTTGAAACTTTACATCTCTGGACATTTACAAATCGCATTTGGAACCTTTATACTCAAGAGAGCCAACACATGTACTCTGATGGACCCCTGGCTTTGACTACGGGGGCCACCTTGTTGGTAGATTCGATGTACTCCTGCAACTGCGCACTATATCAGATCGCAATCCTATATCAGCTTGTACAGGCCTTGGTCCTAGTCGGGAAAAGAAAGGTGAAGCGAACGTGCCAGCTGTCCATATATATGTATATAAAGGCAGCGAAACTGATACAGGATATAGCATGGCATAGTTCTAGTACGTCAGACAATTCACTATATCCCGATTTCTTTGAACTGCCGAGATTTGGTCAGACATCTTGCAGTTTCAACGTCAAAACAATGATTAATCACTTAAAACAACATCAAGAGAAATCACCCACATTAGGGGTGCCAGTCAGCTCTCACCGCAAGCTCTCACGGCGCCTGTGTCTGTTGGTCTGGTCCGAGTGAATGCGCCAAATGTCCGGGAAAATGGAGCCCAGCAAACTCTCAGCTTTCATGGTGGACTCGAAGAACCTCCAGCGTGAGCGATGGACCAGTTCTCCAACACGGACCGGCGGAAAGCCGCTCAGCTCTGATTGCCCTGAACTCCTACTGCCATGTGCCAATAACAAATGGATTGGATGAGATGGTTGGGAAAGGATTTAAAAGATTCTCTTCCAGGGGTGCACGTTGAAGATATGTGAAGATGTTTCAGGCTATACATGTTGATTTCAGGGTCCATTTTTAGTTGTTGCTTTTCCGGAGGGCCGGAGGCTTTGGGGTTGTTTTCACTGTTATTTTGTGGCTTTCCAGGGCAGAGATGCCTGTCTAAAGTCTAAAGGAATCTAAAGGAGTTATGACACATGCCTGGACTCAACAGCTGGTGCGCCTGCTGCTGACGCCAAACTAGCTTACAAGCAACTAAAAAGGAACATTTGTTCATGCGGCATAAACGTCCCTCGCGGAACTTTGGCATGCATTGACCCCCCCGCAAATACAATGACACTAGCATACCCGACTCGACCATGGGAATCCAACACCCCACTGGCCGTTGGTTCGACAAATGGTCTATCTTGGGTATATCCCAGGACCAGGGACCAGTGGATGATGGTTGGGTTGCAGGCCTTTCTCCAAAAAACAATGTTATGATCCTTTACCAACTGTTCCAGGTTTATTGAATGGGACAAACATGGACAAACCCTTTGTCTAGACACAAAGTACACTGAATTCGTGCGCTCCACCGGCGTGCTCTTGTGCTGGCAACCATGGCCAAGCAGCAGCGCACTGGCGCTCGGCAACCACGACTGGCAAGCGTCCAAGAGTAATGAAGCCATGAGGCAAAGCTGGTGCTCCTCGCGGCACGCGTGGAACGTGGCACGTCACGTCGAGGTGGATGGAAACTGGAATGGTCGAAAATGATCAGGAAAGCCAGTTGAAAGCGATTGGATGGTCGAAACCAAATCGAGGGATGTGGATGATGCTTTTTCATCGACCTTGCTGGAACCCTTGGAGTTGTCAAAGCATCTTTCTTCATCTTTCTTCTCTTCGATTTGCTGTCAAGGAATGGAACCGAAGAACAAACCATCTTCCCCAGCTTCGGCGATTCACCCAGTTCGGGAATCTCCACATCCAGCCCCCCCGATTCACCACAAAACCATACAAAGCAAGTTCCTGATGGTGGCAAGCCTAAACTTCACACCCTCCCATCAAAAGCCCTGCCTGCACCAGCAGCGCTGAACCAGGTCCCTCTGCCACGCGAGGCACCGGAGCGCAGCAGGCCACGGCTTTGGGGTGGAAGGGCAGCGCATGCAAGGCCAAGAGCTGTGCGACCTGGGAAGAAAATTGGTAAAACTTCTTGGGGGTTTAAGGGTGGAACGTAGGCTGGGACATGGAAAGTGGTGTTGATAAATCTTTGGTGGATTGAGATTGAAACCCAACCAGCCCAACCAGCCTGATGTTCCTGTCCTTGCCAGGTTTGTGGGCATAGTCTCAAGATGTCTCAGGACTAGTTGTGCCATGAGGCCAAAAGGCTGTTTTGGTGAAACTGAACACATAACTGAACATAACTGGACTACAATTCGTTTGTTCTTTCAATAAGTTGTGTACTTCTGCAAAGTTCCCAACCAAACACGAAGCTTTCTCGAAAGATCTCTCTGCCTCTGCTCGTATGGTTTTTTCTTGCGTCTGAGGCACCGGGGCATCTGAGAGATACTTGATGTGGACCCGTTTCAGCGCCTGCGGTGGATACTCAAAAGGCAGCCTGTTTTTTCGTGTGGCTCCTTAGTTTGGGCCGTGACATGCCAAACTCAAAGCATCTTTGCACATCTTTGCCAATGGTCCAACATTGGGATGGATACTTTGATAGACTTATATATATATATATATAGAGAGATTTGTATACTTAAATGGATTACTAGGATTTAATTAGTTACTCCACTTCAAGAAATCCGTTGCTGCAGCGTATTCTGCAGACATCATTCCAGCATCTTCGGCCCGCCCTGATGGCCTCGTCCAACTTGGGATCCTGCCACATCCGTGCACAGGCTCGGTGTTCGCCTGTCCCCCTCTACAACCGCAAACAGTGAAACGCTCCATCTGCAAAATACCTTTGCTTTCAACAAGCAACCACCAAAGCAAGCAAGGGCACGGCAACCTTTCAGTAGCTTTCCAAACATGTGTCTTTAAAAAAAAACACACACACACACGTGCCAACTCTTCTCAAAACCAACTCTTCTCGTGTGGGACTGACATTCCTATTTGTTTGGACACTCACTCCATGTTGTTCCGCTCTCCCCATGTTCATCCGTGAATCAGATCAACACCGCCCAATTTTCAAGATCCCACAGGCGCTGGGTGGCGAGCTGCAAGCTGCATCGGGAATGTTCATGAACGGTACCAAAGGCACCCACTGGGTTCCGAACCCTGCGGTCGCCAACACTGAACTATCCATTTCAGCGTACCATGGTCGTGGCATCTAGGGGCTTCCAACCTTCACATCCACCCCCCCGTGGGCGGCGCGGTCCGCGTCCTCTGCCAGCGCCCTGCGCGCCACTTGGCCATTCCGGAGCTGAGACTTCTCACAGAGGAGTAGACAGTGTGCCTGCGATAGGCACCATCTCAGTATGGCAAAGGAATTAATATGTGTAGGGGTCTTGGCAACGGTATGGCCAGAAACCCTTAGCAAAAGACTAACCCTTGTGATCCAAATGGATAGGATAGGATGACACAATACTTCTATCACGAAATGCACTGGATACTTTCATAGCTTGGCAGTGAAAGGTCCGTGGGGGAACCCGTGGTCCGGAGTTGACGCAAGGCTGCAAAACGGAGGGGCCGCCAAAACAGCAGGGTCTTAGCGTAAGACCACCTATTGATTGGCCGTCAAAAAGACTACACAAGTCAAACGTCTGTCTGATTGCTCTAATTGGCTGGGGATTAGGAAGATGATGGATGATTTTCTGGAGGCCCATGAGAAACTTCTCCGGGTCTCCATAAACCTCTGAGCGGCCCACCGAACGTGGCCAATAGATGCTAATAGAATATCAACGAATAGCGAAACTTTGCATCCTACTCAACCAAAATTTGATTAAAGCTCAACTACGCAGTAGAACATAGTCTCTACTCGGCAGCTCCTTTGACGTGTTTGCCAAAAAAAGTTCCTGTGGCACTGATTCCATAGGCGCCCTATTCGCTCATATTCGCTCTACAATCGATTGTCTCAGTCCTGCATTACCTTTATGATGTACGCTAAAGCTAGTTCTGATGACACAGCCAAACATAAAAAATGCATAAACAACGCAAAAAAAATGCAAAACCAATCCCGAAAAAAATGCACAGAAAACGCAAAAACAAGTCACCAAAGGATCCCTTGAAATGCAAAAAAAAACAAAAAAAACGCAAAAAACATGCAAAAAGCTAAATTGATCACTCAAAAAAATGCAAAAAAAACAAAAAAAAACGCAAAAACAAAGCAAAAAAATGCAAAAAAAATGCAAAAAAAAAGCAAAAAAAATGCAAACAAAACGCACAAAAAAGGGCACACCGCAAGAAGAAACAACAAAATCACAACAAATGCTGGCAAAACCATAGCACATGCAACAACAAACCCATTAACATAACAAAAACATGTGCATTAATACATCAGGTTACAGCAGGAAAAGAAAGCGTCCAAAAAAATAGTTGCAAGCAAAAACAGCCGCTAATACACTTGGCAAAGGTATGAAGGGGGCACACTTCCTTGCAGAGCAAACTAGCAAGAACCAGTAGCAAAACAATCAAACCTATGGTGGTAGTAGTAGAAAGTAGTGAAGTGCAAGCAAGAGATCAATATGTGCTCACCTGCGCACATGATCACTGAAGACTTGCTGTATGTTATGTTTTTGCTTGACGTGTTGAGCTTGAACAAATTTGGAAGGGCTTGGGCGAGCTGGCTCGAGCTGTTAGATCTCGGGGCCAGTGTGTCGCGATGAAGGGCTGGCACAATTTGACACAGGCAGCGTTGGCTGACCTGGAGAAAGAGGAGGAAATTTTTGGCGAAGCAGAGCTTGTGAGAGATTCCAGTTCTGAAGAGTCAGATCCTAGTGTGATCCCACTTTCTTCCCAGACCTCAGATGAATCTTGGTTGAAACTCAGACCACTCTTTTTTTCATGCAATTGTCCACGCATCCTCAGCTCTGAAGTCTGAAGTGTCTTCAACAACTCTGCGTGAGGGTTTAGAGTCTAGAGTCTAGAGTGGGTTTCAAGGATTGGTTCGTCTTCCAGTTGAAGATGAGTTGCAGAGATCTCGCTCCTGGCGGAGTTCCTCGGAAAGGTTCGATCAAGGTACTTTCATCTTGCACGGGAAGCTGTGCAGAGGGCTCTGCCTTGGATGTAGGAAACTCAGGATCTGACCTTCTTTGGAGCGCTCATTCCCACATTGTGTCATTAAATTTGTTCTATCCTCCCTCCTGCTGTTCTATCCTCCCTCCTGCTTTACCTTTGAGGCTTTGGGCATTCCATATGAGCTGGTTGGGGCGTCAGAGATTAACCCATCATTTCGGTCAGTCATCCAAGCAAACTTTACAGTGAAGCATTTGCACAACACGATGAAGGATCAGGTGGACAGTGCCGCCTGCCTTTTGCACAGAGACAGCTGTGATTCTTGCCGTCTCACTCCATGTGATCTAGCCATTTTTGGCACGCCGTGCCCTCCGTTTAGTGAGCAGCGAACGAAGCGATACAGGAGTGGATCGGTCAAAGAGCACCCACTGACCCGTGTTACCATGGAGGACGCCAGAGACATGATCGTCCTAGGTGGCCACAAAGCTGTAGTGATGGAACAGGTTCAAGGTTTTGATCGAGCAGAAGTTGCTGGGGATGCAGAGTTTACCCCAATGAGAAGGCAAGACATGTCTTCATCTTGCTGAATTCAATGTTTCAATTTCATCAGCCCACCTGGACTGGATTGACCATGTTGCTGATTGACCATTTGTGTAGGTTCCTGCAGAGCGTCGATGCCTCCATGAAGCAGAGTCGCAATGCAGGGTACCACGTTGTGATGCTGAAGGCAGATTACAGCCAGTGGGTAGAGATCAGCCGAGAGAGGACCGTGCTTTTTTGTTTCTTGTTTTTAGACTATGGCTATGAAGTCAGGTCGGCAGTTGCCAAGTGCTGGGTCATTGCTAGCTGCCAGGCTCAACTCAACACCAAAGGTAGTGCCCAAATGTAGAGTCATTAAGCAGAAAATGTAAAGCTACTGCATGCGATGTACAATGAACATTGCCCAATGGTTTTGCCAGCGTCCTAGGAACAACTTGGGAAGCACATGTCTGTTAGATCTTTTTTGTAGTGATTGCGGGCGATTGGTGTGCATGTAGAGTTGACGCGTTGCGCCTGCGGCTTTGTGCCTACCCCCCCTATGCCGAAGCAGCCAGGGACTCATGCTTTTAGGGCCTTGCTCAAGTCTCTGAAGGAGAAGCAGCAAGGAGAGGTAGAACAAGATCCAGGAGATGCAGGATCACAATTGTCACAAAAGGAAAAGCAGCTGCAAAACCTTGCAGCTGCAAGGGCCGCCAAAGCAGCAAAGGCGGCCAAAGCTAAAGCTGCTTCAAGAGAAGGCGAATCGACTTCGTCGCAGGAAAGCTTTGCAGACTTTCCTGTGTTGACGTTTGGGTCCAAGATGCAACAACAGCTGGCACAGAGTGTAGCAAAATTGATGGGGCAGCTGCGCAAGCAGGAGAGTAGCAGCACAAAAGAATCTTTCCGATACATTTTCCAGGAGAAGAGGCCAGTGACTGGTCTTGCAGCGGAGGCTGGCCATAGGGCTGTGGGCAGAAGAGCATTCACCAGCTTCTTGCAGGAAGCAGCGTGTTTCGTGGTCCTTTTCGCGAGCTATTTGGTTGGAAGCATGCTGACTGGTCTTGGCGCGTTGGTGGCAGAAGGCACTGATGCAGCTATCTTGCTGTGTGTGAAGAGAACGTATGATGAGACGCCTTCCAAAATCACAACTACTTCCAAAGATCCTGCCAAGAAAAAAACGCAGCAAACAAGAAGGTTCCACTGCCAAAGTTCTTCAGACCCGTGGCGAAGTGCTGATTCTAATGAGAAGGAAAACCACTGACGAGCACTATGTCATCCGCTGCCCTTTGCCAACCCATTTGCAGGCAGTAGACAGGACTACCGCTGAGAATACCAGGGCTTGTCAGCAAACCTTCCTTGCACAAGTTCCAGGCCTCAAAGATTTCGGAGACCAATGCCTTTTCAACATTGGTTTGGTGACCACAGACAAATACGGAGCAAACCTCAAATGTGAGCAAACGATGGGTCCGAAGGGCATCAACAGTGCGAATTCTCATTATACATGTGATATTCATAAACTGGCAACCTGCCAGTCGAAGACTCTCAAGCTCACTGATGGGCATATCAGTGCCCAAATTGCCGCAGCAATATGCTTTTCTGAAGCGGGCAGCACAAGGGCTTTGAGAAAGTCTCTATTGAAGGTTCTTTCTACAAAGCTGTACGTCTGCTTTGGAGTGTGCCCTCGTGATGAGTTTGCCTTGGCTTACAGGCAGAAAGTCTTGGATACCTTCTTGCCACAGTGTGACTGGGATGAAGAAAGCGGAGACCTACCTGACCAAACTCGCAAACGGAAAATCCAGCAACAACGTTTGTGCGTTCAATACTTCTTTCATTCTGATCTTCAAGACAAAGACCAAATTTTCTTCTGGACGACTCATTGGGGATTGGAAAAGAAGGAAGTTCTTCAGGTCATGGAGGAGTTCCTGGTTCCTTACTTACTACCCTGCAAGCCGCCCATATTCAGCAGGAGTCGGTGGAATGGCTTTCAGGGGGCTTTGAGGTGGTTTGGTTTATTGGAAATGTGTCACGGTTTGCTCAAACCGACTTTGCAAGATTACCTTGGGGATCGCGCAGTGCCATTGCCTGTGCCAGTTGCAGAGGCAGAGGCCCCTCAGGCCTTGCATCCTTTGACTCTTGGTCAAGAAGGCCAAGAGGATGAGCAGCGTGACGCGTCAGAGCAACATGTGCAAGAAATGAATCTGGCAACGGGCGACTTGGACTGGAAAGCCTTTCGGCTGCAAATGCAACAGAAAGTCCGTTTGTGGATGCATGAGCCCATTGGACCAGCGTTGGCAGTGATGGCAACTGCAGTGGATGCGCTGTGCTACTTCTTCAACTGCATGCTTGATATGGGGTCTAAGGAATGGGAGAGATCCCAACAAGCTGAAGTTGCCCAAGGAAAGCCTAGAACCTATCCTGTCCTAGAGGCTGCCAGAGGGACTTTGCTTCAAAAGTTCAGGGCAGAGATCAACAAGCACTTCCACGAGAGGATGGCCCTGATCACAAGAGATGATCATTTAAGGCAATTCCAAGTCCTGCTGTTCAGAATGCTGTCGATAAGCATGTGCTCTGTGGAGTTCTACGTGGGCACAGCGTGGCACACATATCCAGTCCAGCTGTTCTCTTCCCTGGATGGTCATCATCAGGTGTTGAGGGACAAAGAGTGCATGTGGTGCCCCTTAACCAAGCTCTTGGCCTCCACGTACTCAACCGAGCAGGAGCTTTCAGGTGTTGAGGCTCAGTCAATACTGCGGTGCGTGGCTTCCATTTTTGAGCTGGACATAGCAGACCTCGAGTCTCGCCATGCAACAACCAGACGAGTGACAGCCATCCACTCAATCCAAACCCACTCGCCTGACCTTGCTTTGCTGAATGCCGACTGGGTATGCAGGAACAATGTGATTGACAGGGCAAGCTCCAGAGTGAAAAGCACCTGTTCTACCAAAGAAGGAGCAAAAGAGAGACCTCAAGACAAAGAGAAGTCTTACAGGGCAAATGCCTGGAATGCTTTCATGAGTGACAGGTGCACCCAAAAGATTGCCAAAGGAGAAGACATGGCAAAACTCAAGCGCGAGTACCGCTTATTGTCACAGGAAGAGAAACAATTCTATCAATCCATGGCTGAAGTTGCCAAATGCGCAGCAGAAAGAGGAATGAAACCCTATGCACCTGTTCGACTGAACAGTAGCCCTTCTGATGCAATGGACGATGGTGGAACGCTTGCCCCACTGGGCACGTTGGTTGAGGCTACAAGCGCAGTGGGAACTACAGAGGAAGTTGCTGCCCAAGCCCTTGTGTTGGCTTGTGATGAAGTCCAAAACCTCTTGGCGGGTTCCAATGCTGAGTATAGGCGTGTGACCAGGCGACTTGCTTCCTTCACAGAAGTGGCGGATAGGAGCATTGAGCAGTTTCATCAGGACGAGTCCTGCTTGCAAAGGCCAAAGCAATGCTGCCCAGCTGCCTTTTCCCGCAGTGTGCCTTCGCTGGATGGGCTGCATTCATTCAGGCTGCATATGCCTGCAGATGACTTTGGGGAGGCTTGGCCATTTCACAAAACAACATTAAGTGAATGGGAAAGGGGGCTCTAGACTCGACTATTGACTATTTACTATTTAGACTTGGGACTCATCCACTGGGTTCACAGGTCAGTCCCTATTGAATATGTGTTCATTGGTTGTTTGAACTTGAATCGATTCTTTTTGGCTTCTATATATATATATATATATATCGTGCCCACAGGTCCTCTTGGCAGATGGAGAAAGAAGCCAAACTCGAGCTCGCTTGCTGGAGGAATGGAAAAACATGAATGATTTGTACATTCATGATGAGCAGGTGCCAATCAATCCCGGAGACAGGGCAAAAACTCAATCCCTATGCAATCAGCTGGGGCTTTGCGTTTGCCAAGACGATGGCCAGAAGGCATTGAGGTTTCAGCAGCAGCTTGCATTCTTTCTTCGCCACGACTTTACCCCAAAGCGCAAAAGGAAGCAAAGGGATGGTTCTGCTCCAGAACCATTGTCAGCAGCTGAGACACTGAAGCAATCCACTCTGAAGCGGAACAGGCAGCTTTTGAGCGAAGCTTTTGTTGTGTTGAGATTGCAGCCAGCTATTTCAACACTCCCAGATGACTATGAGCCACCCACGGAACGCTCAGTTGTCCACAATTCATGGACTGAACTGGCGATGAAGGAGCTGGGGCTTGATTTGAGTGGTTCATCAAGGGCCACATCTGCAGCGGATGCGTTGTGGCTTCATGTTGGCCACGTGAATTTCAGCAGCTGGTATATGGGCTTGCTGGAGCTGAATCATGTGTCTGGTCCTGATGAAACGGGCTATATCCGCCTTCATGTTAGCAATCCTGCAAAAGCAAGCCACTCCGTCAGGGCATTTGCTCAGAACATCAACTTTGACACCACATGGCAGGTCTCGTGCTACACCATTGTTAGCAATTCTTCTCAGCTGACCTTGGAGGAAATGTCGCCTTACTGGGTAGAAGTTCAGGAGTTCCAAGATGTAGGCAAGTTCAACTTCTGGATGGGCTGGGAGCAAGAGAGGAGAAAAAATGGAAGCCATCAAAAAGAGACAGACTGGCAGCTCTGCCAAAAAGAGAAAACCTGCTGCAGAGCCGTCGAAGGCACCGAAAGCCAAGAAGGCAAGGCCTCTCGAAGGTGGAGAGAAGGCTCCAGAAGCAGAAGCAGGGGCAGAGGCAGAAGAGACTGCGGCAGAAGAGCCTGTGCTGCCAGCAACGGCTGAGTTAGAAGATGTGGCTGCCAACCACGTTCTCTTGGATGAAAGCGATGATTCTGATGGTCACAGCTTTGGTTCCAGTGTTTGCAGCCTCCTCCAGGCTTTTGAATCTGAGTCTGAAGCAGCAGGCTCCGATTTGGAGAAGTCAGGGCCAGTGCAAAAGATTGTTGAGCCTGCTGCAGCTTCAAGCGGTGACCCGCCACCTTCAGCTGCAGCTGCAGTTCCCTCCAGTGCTACGCATCCTTCGTCCGAGGAAACAAAGGAACGTGCTAAACACATTGTCTCTGGGCCCAGGGCAGCTCCTGTTCCCACCTCAGGTGTGGATTTCAGCTACCATGGGGAGCTGAGGTACAACTCAGAACAAAACCACATTATGGCTTGCTGCTCCAGACATGGAATCGAATGCAGGAAGGTCAGAACGACCAAGCCATCTGCTGATGGTGCTTCGTCCCGCACAGGCCTTAAAATTGGTCAGGGCAGACCTTTAGGTCTGCTAGCAGCCTGGTTGAAGGTTGCCGAGAATCACGATACGGCAGCTAGCCACAAAGACAATTTCGTGACTCTTTGCATCACCAGAGCAGAGCGACAAGCGGCCAGGAATGAATTCATGGCCATTCCTGGGGCTAGTAGAATTGCTGACAACGAGAGGGCCCGTTACGATTTTGAAGATGATGAGCCCCTTGAAATGCGCTAACAATTTCTCCAGAGAGGAGGAAAAAGAGAGTGCGGGTGCACAAAGCTTTTTGACAGAAAGCAGTTGGAAGACGTGTCATTTTTGGGTTTGTTTGAGAAAAGAGATTGATGTGGAGGATTTACCTTGTTTTCCTGCACAAGAATTGGTATACCGAAAAAGATGTGGAAGCACTGAGAGCTGCTTATCAGGCTCGTGGAGTGCTGTGAGTTGGTCTGTCGCACCACCTGCTTGTGTATGACACTATGTTTGTTTTAGTGCAAACTCACAAGCAATGCCTGGGCCTTTTTTTTCCAGGCCATCGTTGATGGACAGAAGAAACTCAAGCCCAAGCCTGTTGCTGAACTTCTGATGCCGTTAGACAGCGAAGAGAGAGAGAAGGGGCTGATTGAGAAGGTGCCACGAGCCACCAGTTCGCAGAATGCTCGAGAGGTTTTAGCTAGTTCTCAGAGTTCTCACATTTCTGGGTGCGAGAAGCTCTGACTATCCTGCGTATCCAGTTTCCACACTAGTCACTAGTCTCACTAGTCGCTAGTTAGTCCTTAGGCCTACTGACTAGTGACCAGGGCCAATAGGGGTACCTGGACTGGGTGTGGACTGGGTCTGGACTGCACCTTTTTGTGCGATTTTTTTTCGATGTTTTTGCGATTTTTTGCGTTTTTTTTTGCGTTTTTTTTTGCGATTTTTTTGCGTTTTTCCAAGGAAATGCACAACAAATGCAAAAAAAACGCAAAAAAAAAAGCAAAAAAAACGCACAAAAAAGGCACACCACAGACCAGCCCCAGGAGCAAAAACACAGGACCCCAAAACGGCCTAAACAGAGGCACTGACCCTCCACTGACCAGAAGGGTATTTGTGACCTGCCTTTTTGCTGTCAAAGCTTTTGAGCTTTCTTGGTTGGAGTAGTTGGGTGTTGACATGAAGCTCCAGCATAAGCGTGTAGTAAGTGGTGCGGTCAGCAGTCTGTGCAGCATTGCTGGCAGTGTAAGAGCGTAAGCAGTTCGAGCGTGAGCAATAGCGCATGCATTTCCTCAGACTTTCAGTCCTCTTTATCTCTTTCTATCTGAACTTATCTCGCTTCAAACATTCAAGCCCTTCTCTCTCTCTCTCTCCTTCTTTTTGAGCATGTTTTGTGTTCTTTCTGTTTTGTAGCATTCTTCACTTCTTTTCTTTTCTTACGTTATTGTTTCTTTTCTACCTCTCTCTCTCTCTCTTCTTCTTCCTTGTCCTTCTTTCGACTCTATTTAGTTTTGTTTGCTCACATCTCCTTTCATTCCACAGATGCAAGAAAGAAGCAAGAAAGAGAGAGAGAGAGAGGGAGAACGTAAGAGAGACACTTGTCACTTGTCCAAACACATACACAAGACACACACGCGCACACACACACAGCTTCATCTCTGATGATGTGGTGGATTGGTGGAAGTAGGGAGGGTGGAGGGGAAGGAAGGGGAAGGAAGGGGAAGGAGAGGGGAAGGAGAGGGGAAGGAGAGGGGAAACGGGAAGGGAGGAGAAGTGAGGAGGAGACAGGAAAAGGGAAACAAGCTGTGCTCTGATGTGTTCCCCTGTTCAACTGTGCAACCTTGGACATGTTCACAGTATGGTGAACATTGGAAAGCTTGGCGAGTTCTTGTCTGTGTTCACTGTGTAGTGTATGGAGCTACTGGAGTTGGGCTGTCAGGAGGGCCTGTTTCTTGCTGGATTGGGTTGTGGCCACCTGTCTCACGTGCGCAACGCACAACATACATACGACTCGGTATAAGAAGCTTGTGTTTTTCAGTTTGCAACTGGAGATACTTTGCACTAACTAAACTAAACTTAACTAAATGTTGTGCTTTGCAATATTTGTCCTGCATTGCAAGCTTTGACACAAAAAGCGTGTTTTTAATCAGAATGAGCAGCTTTGCACAGAGAGAGAGAGTTTGCATTTGTATATGCATCAGTTCATTTGTTTTGTTCCTTTCGGACAACTCCTGTTTGTACACTGACAGCAATGTGGCTGTGTTTTGCAGTTCGATGTGCGAAACGATAATAGTATATTGCGAATCTTTGAGCTCTCAAAAGGCGGTCTGCGGTACACTTCTCGTGTCTGTGCGTTTCATGTCTTTGACATGTGGTACTTGTGACCATGAGTGCTTCTATCGTGATTTCGCACTCTCCCTTGGAGTTGAGTGAGCTTCGCTTTCAACTCCACCTTTCTAGTGTCCTACTACACTAGGGAATTCATCGTAATCCATATATTCAAACATCTCTTCCATCAGCTCGTACAGTCTACCTGCTTGTCGGCTGTCTCCTTCCCTGGTGTAATGGAACCAACTTGCTTCCAGAACCATGAGGTCCTGTCTTGCCCTCAAAGCTGCCCTACTTCGCAGCCTGTTCCAGTGATTAAATTTCACTATTGGAATCTCTACAGGTGGAGGATGCCAAGACTCAGTCTCTGATCCATCCATCTCTACGTCATCATTGCCACTCTCAGCCGCAGCTTCATCTGTTCCTTCCATCGCGGCCTCTGGTAGATGTTCTGGATCAGCTGCTCTCTCTTCTCCCTGACTTGAGCTTGGCCTTGCCTCCACATACTCCTCAGGGATTTCCACTAGTTCACCATTGTCCAGTCTGACAGTGACCGTGTTCCCTGATAGTACTCTTTCTTCTCCTTCCGCTTCACCACTGCCTCTGGCTTCTTCTGCACTCACTGGGGGTGTTCTCGGTGGTGGTCTTCCTGCCGCTGCCGCTGCTGCATCAGATGCTGTCCTGTAAGACCTGTTGATGAAAGGTCGTCCCTCTCTTTCTGCTTGTCTCATTTTCACGGTTTTCCACTGCTCTGACAGCAGGACACCAGCCTTGACCCTGTTCCTGCCCTCCAGGAACTCCATGAACTTGCGGTCATCTGGTTCAATCGAACTCAAATCCACAAAGCCCCCGTTCTTGATCAGGCCCTCGTGCACCCTCTCGATGTAGTCGACTGCCATCGAGGTTTGTCTATTGTGCCAGTCGGCCCAATCGCTCTCACGGGCTTTCTCTTCTCGCAAGCTACTTTCTAGCGCTTCTACTTTGGTGGTGAGGGTTTTGACCTTCCCAAACAACCAAAACACCAAACCCAGTAGGAGGCCAATGCACAGAAACATCAACCATCCTTCTGCATTTTCCGAGTGGCTAGGCTTCTCCACCTCGGTCATGGGTCGTGACCCTGCAGCCAGCTCAAGACCGCCAACCAGGATGAGTCGGTTCAGGTACTTGGCGATCTTCATGACCTTGCCCTTCTCTATCCGCTGTGTGGCGTAGGTCTCATGCTCTTTCTCGCCAACTCGTCCACCATTGCCATCACGGGCATTGCACCAAAACAGCAATAGCTGGAGCCTATTGCGTCCCAGTGGTTTTGTCCCGATGTCAGCCAGGTTTAGGGCAGTGCTGATTTGTTTCACCTCAAGGGTTCCTTCAGCCACTTTGTCCTGGCACCATAACAAGCGTCCATTGATGTGTCGCAATCGACCACTTCCTCGTTTGCAGGCTATCTGACGTGTGGCTGAATTGTCAATCCAACAAACATGCTGGATCTCTTGTCCTGTGAGGAACTCGAGGGCATACCTTATGCAGATACCATCACACGCACCTGCCACTAAGGCATTCAGCTCTGACTCCGCTGAACTCAGCGAGACTGTCTTTCGACTGCGTGAGCTTGCGTGCACAATCACTCCATTCACCGCATGGATTGCTCCTGAGGTTGAACGTCTTGTCGACTTGCACCCGCTCCAATCCGCATCTGTAAAAGTCTCTAGCAGCCACTGCTTTTGCCCTCTCATCTGAATTCCTTCACTCCCTTCTCCCATGGCCAAGAGAATGTGCTGGCCTTCGGTCTCTTTCAAGTAGCCAATCATTCTCCTCATATTCTGCAGTGCTCCTTCGGTGGGACTGCTCATCTTACTCGCCAGCTCTTTGATCACAAAGCTGAGATCGAGCCTTTCTTGCGACAAGTAGATGCCCATGCCAACAATCGATCGGAACACTGCTGCGTCCGCTGGAGTAATGAGGTTCGTCTCGTCCACCTCCTGGATTTCTGCTGTAGCCGGCAATTTCTGTCTCTTCACCACTCCATAGCTCTCCTCAAACATCTTGATCATCTTGGCGGCATATTGTCCCGGCTTCACCAGCAGTCCTTCTTCGACCCACACATAGGTTCTTTTCAGGGACGTGAACTCATCTCCAAGTTTCCTTGCTATCGTGACCTCCACCTGAAAATCCTTCTTCAACTCCTCAACAAATCTGTCCACCACCTTTGACCGACCTGTGAACATAATGTCATCCACATGAATCAACAGGCTCAGGGCCTTTCTTCCTTCACCCTTCTTGCCCAAGCAGGGGTTGACCACGTCAAAAACAAACCCCTGGTTCTTGATCAAGTAGTCTCTGATGTGTTCATACCAGGCCTTTGCTCCTATTCGTTGTCCTGGCAAATTCTTCAAGACCTTATACTTGCCCAGGCTCGTTGAGATTTGCAGTGGTCTCTCTTGTGCCACCTGCAAGAAGGCATCTTTGATGTCCAGGGCTCCGATCACTGGGTCACCAGTCTCCTCCTCATGGTAGTCCTTGCTTCTCATGTCCAGTAAAAGCGCTGGGAGTAGCCGCAGGCTATAGCTTCCCGATGCAGGAGAGTATACATCATCTCTGCGCTCAACCGCGTATTCTCGGGCTACCAAACGTGACCTTCTCATCCACTGCTTCTTCTGCTGCCCATCTGGCATAGTTCTAGTCTTGATTCGCCAGTCTCGGACGAACTTGGTGGTGAGCTTGTCCAGGTAGAAGTCTTCGATCTTCAGATCCTCAATGACTCCCATACTCTTCAACCTCCTCTCTTCAATTTGATCAGCCAAAGCTTCAACTTCATCGCTTGGCTGAGGTGGCGTCCTTGTCAGTGCCGCCTCACTCCATATCTCCTGTTGATCTTGTTCTTGGGCCTCCGTCGGAGCATCCTCATCCACTTCTAACTCAATGGTCTCCGAGTCAATGAC